AACAAGGTTTTGAATCTCTCAGAAGTTCTGGAATTGAAGTATCTACGTTTGTCTCTGACAGACACCAAGACTGTATGCCATTGCACAGAGATACCTATTGAACAAAAACATTGTATGACTTAATATAATGGTTGATTTGAGTTTCTCTTACATTCTTTAGAATCGGCAGGATCCTAACATTACATATATATTTTATATGTATATGGTATACTTATTTCTGCCAGATTTAATGAAAATAAAATATTAAATTTACTAATTCTAAGAATTGAAGGTGCCAAACAGAATTTGTATTTCTAGACAGTATAACTTTTACAGTATAGCAACTAGACAGTATTTGTATAACTTCTTCTTCATTCGCTCATACAACGCAATAGGCCAGGCCGCTATGATCAGGGAATGGTGGCCTAAAAACAGCAGAGATGTACAGGGAATACTGAATTTATAACACTAAAAAACACAATGACAACTTATTTCACTCACCATTGACTCAAAGTAATAATTCCTCGCCATCGATCACGCAGTTGAGATTTTTGAATTCCATCTTCGTCCTCTGCCAGGTCATGAAAGCTTCGAGCCATGCCAGCTTCGCCTAGTTCCGCGTCTGAATTATCCGCAGAAAAAAGACTGGTTCGTTCTTGCAAGGCAAAAATAGCCCATCAGCAGCACCTAAAAGCTATTCCCCTTCACTTTCGTCAAAAGCTGACGCCCTCGAGCTTGAATATTTGCCGTGAGACATGTTCATAAACTCGCAAGTAAAACTCCGCCGTATAATTTCTTGTTAGTTAGCAATCTAAATTTTCACTAACACAACCACTTTACGTCACTTCCTGTCAAACTCGACCCAATCCCTTGTGACAGAATTTGAAGCAAAAATCGACATTGAAACAGCTGTAATTATGAAAGTGTTTGTTTTTCGAAAATTTTATGGTGGTTTTCGTGATCAGCATACTCGATTACGTGTTGGGGGCGAATAAAAATTTTCGTGTCATATGCACTTTAAGGGGTAGAAGTTAATAATAACATCCTAAGGAACTTTTCTCTCAAATCGACATCTGGAAATGTAAATAAAGTTATAAAAAATATGTTAAATAACTAGTCCAGAAACAAAACAAAACGGAAGTCCTGTGTACTTGGGCCTTAATCACCGAATCATGTTCATGATTTTGCAAGAAAATCGGTGACTTTTTGTCTGGTTCGTTTTGCGTTCTAGCCAATCACTTTGAGTGTATGCAATCATCTTTGATGCAATCACACCTGAAAGGGCGTCTGCTGTGTCATTGTCTCCTTTTGCCTCACGATATTAATGGCCGTATTAACGGGGTGGAATTATAAAGAATCTGTCTGTTTGGGATCGCAAAATGTGGCCGCTGGCCGTATTAACGGGAGGCCGCATTAACAGGTCTTTTGCCCTCAAGCTACCCTCGTGCTGCCTCCATGCTGCCCACCCCACTAGGCAATAGGGGCAGCTGCCCCCGTGGCCCCGCCACCACTGCCAGTATATAAAAGCTTATGAACCCAGGTATTTGTGATTAGCATTCAGTGTCTTTTAAGTTTTTTGTTGACATCAGTGTTTAAAACTAAGGCCCTAAGGCCCCGTTCACATTGTTCCGGATTCCAATGAAAACAGATAAAAAAGTATCCGTTTTCACCTTGCGTTCACACTGCTTCGCTGTGAAAACGGAGATTTTTAAAAACGCATCTTAAAAACATAGCCTTAGATGAAATAAAATAATGGAAGTAGAAAACAAAATCAATCACAAGGAGCGCTTATTTCTGTTTAACTATGCCAATTAAACTGGAAATAAGTGCCTAATCTTCGAAAGAAATCATCTCTAAAAGAAGGATTTTTGAATTGAGGCTGATCGGTATTATTGTTAATAAAGTTAATAAGTCTTCGAAAACATCATGCATCATTGTACTTGCTAGTAGAAATGGTCGGTGCTTCTATATCATTTGAAATGGTAGACCACGTTGAAAATGAGGTTTGTATTGTGGAGGTGGTGATTAAAATGTATTTTGTTTACGCCTCCGAAATCCCTCGTGTTTGGCTTTAGTGCGGTTTTCATAAGGACGTTTGTCAACATCCCCCAACATCGTGCCTTTCTACCATCCACCCATTCTTGAATCACAAAATACTGCTTCTAAGGATCGAGGTAAATAAATAGATATAATTCCTTTAAAGATAATATAGTGAAATTTCATTGCCTACCTTGTTTTGTTATGTTCATATGGGAAGGCAACTTGCCCAGGGTATTGTGCGACCTCGGCAAAGGCAAGCGAAATGAAAATCTTCTTTATTTTAGCACAAACTGAAACTGTATTAATTACAGTATTATCCCAGTGGGTTAAATACAATCCCCCACATGAACTGGCCCTAAGACACCCGGTAGCCATAGTTTTAGACTTTCCCAGAGTATTATGTGCTGCTGCGAGGGTAAATCTAAATTGCGAAAGAGACTGTTACATAAACAACTAAGTTACCTTTGTTAGTCTACGAGCATCCCTTAGGTTTTCAACCGCGATTCTTAAATTTCAACATCATATCAATATTTACTGCTATTAAGATTTGCCAGGCTTTAGCATTGAATCTCATAAAATTGTTTTTTTTTCAAATTTACCAACTTTTCTTAAACACCCAATTATTTTAATGTTGTTTAATCATAACATTTTATTCTCATAAAAATAATTTGTCCTTGTTTATCATAACTTTACATTCTCGTGATAGTGACAACAGGTTTGAAAACTCAATCGATCAAGAAATTGACCTCTCTCCTTCCATCTATTCACGAAAAGCAGTATCGGTTTAAGGCAAGCACCGCGGAGCAGAGGGGGCTGGGGGCTTTAGCATCATATCAAGAAGTGAACCACCAATAAGTCTCTTTTTATTCGGTTTTAGCCCCCCTTTCTCCTTTTTTAGACCCCAAAATTTTCTCAATGTCCCGCGGTGCCTGTAAGGGTGTACCCTGGGTACCAGACTCACTATATAGTGAGTCTGGTACCCAGGGTAGTAAGGGTGCTGCCAAGGGACCATGGACAAAGGCCCCGCGCTTTTCATAGCCAGAAGGGCCCTGCATCCAAGAAAAAATAAAGTTGAAAAGAAAAAGGGCCCCGCAGTCCCTAAAACGGCTGCTGATGAAAAGATAACAAGCTTGACTACACGCATTTTCATAGGAAACGAAACTCAGTTTAAGTACCCAATCTTTAGTACTAAAGTTTTTTAATTTAGTACTAAACATTTCTTAAAGGTTTCTCGGCTAACAAAATGCTAGCTAGGTAGCTATTTTCTAGCATGGACGTAGCATAAAAGACATAAAACAGAATACCTAACCAGTCTTCTTTCTATTCATCTATGCAGAAAATAGGTGCCTCATTGTCGAAAAGAATAATTTCCACCCCATCTTCGCAAGGATGTGTTTCTTACGGGTTTAGGGTGATTAGTACGATGGTTCCTCATTTCTTGGTCATCTTAGGGCTCAGTTTACTATAGAGGGCTTCAAATAATAAAAATGTGTAAGGTTAAAAACCAGCTATCGGCAAGGCTTTTCAATAATTTCTTCTGCAAAAATTGTATTCAGCTATGAGGTAAAGGTCAATATTCTTCACAAGCCGTTGGGCACTTTCAACCACTGAAAGGGAAAAATAGAGACCGAATTCTACAGTGCGTTCACCTAGAACATTGGTAGCCAGGTCAATAACTTTTCGGCACCATTTTCTCTCAAATATACCCCCGTCATTTCCCAAACAAAGCTCCTAAAATTAAAGTGATGTCATATAGTACCACAAAAACGAGGGTATATCTGAAAACAACCCGAGGTAGAGACTCTATGGTTGATACAGATCTGATTACCCGTTGCCTGTGCATCCGACCACTTACTATTTCGAGACCCCCAACCTGCCAAGCTCACGATTCACTTGATCTTTCCTAAGACCTCAGCTGAGATTATGTTTGAAAGCATATCCAACCTATGAACAATTTGCTGTGAGAGAAAACATGAGATTATGCCAATATAAATTTGTAACAAAAATTTTGAAATGTCCGAATCCGGTTTTCTCAAAATTTTTCCGAAATCTTATGATAGAGAAGGACAGGTGTATAACTTGCAAATAACACCTCTCGTTTCTGGCATAGCATGGATTTCTGTTTCTTCTATCAAACATTTTGCTGCGATTAAATAAATTTGTGATTAGATAACGTAATAGTTATTGGAATCATGAGCAAGTCATGTTTTACCTCCCATACCCCCGGCAACTTGACCAAATCAGTTGTTGTTGACAAAATAGAGATCCAAACCTCCACCATAATGTTACAATGTATCTTGCCTTTGTTACATTGTTCCAACGGTTAACTGATTTCGAGGTTCCGGGTAATTGTTGTTACAACACTACAAGGAAGTTTCAAGCCGAATGTTTTCACCTCCGTGTAGACACAGAACATGATTTATCCTGTGGTGAGTTTTTGGCCATTGCTAGGACATAGAGGATATGGATTCAGTAAAAACGTTGTCATTAGGACCAATGCTCAAAGATCTTGAAGCTGAAATAATGTGTGGAATATGTTTCCAGAAAATGCAACTCCCGAAAGCTTTGATTTGCATGCACACTTATTGTGCTGGCTGCGTAGCAATGGTTTGTCAAAAAAATGGATCCATAACCTGTCCTGAGTGTAGAAAAGAAACAAAGGTGTGCAAGAGCATCTAACTTTTTGTTCGATATCATGGAGCTTGACATGCCGGAATTATATTGCATAGATCGTCTTAATTTTCTAAAGAAGTCATGCTTGTACAGCCTGAGTTAGCTTAAGCACTTTGTGAAAAGGGCTAAACACTGATTATTAAGACCTAGCAAGGAAGTTAAACGGAATATGCCAAATGCCCCTTGGAATACGTCATGGTACATATTAGACAACGTATTGGTATCTTCCTAGCCTACTGCCAAATTAAACAGAAGTGTGTCATATTTTACCCAGCTTATCTTTTGTTTCATTAACTTTTTTATTGTAGGTAAAAAATGGAGATCCTGTCTCACTACCTACTGCATTTATGGTAAACAGAATTGCAGACATCCTTGATCGCTACCAGATAACAAGTCAGAAATACAGCAGTGACATCGTTTATGGATTAGGAAATCACAAGAATCCCACTTCCACCGTTGTTTTGAAGGACTCTTCCAACGTACACGATTATCTGGATAATGAACCAAAACATGGCTCACAAGCCACTGCGAAGGTCGCAAAGCTAAAAGATGATGCGCTTTTGAAACAGTTCAATCTGAGAAGAACGTCACTGCCAGCAGGAGGAAGTGTACCAATGGATGAAAGCAGGGGTGGGGATAATAAGCTTAGAAGGAACACACATCCCATAGTTGCTGATCAACTTGCTGTTTCTGCCCCTGCAAATCTTGTTTGTGCAAGTACTATGCACAAAAAGGGAGTCAAATTTGATGTTATTCTCGAAAAGACCCCCAACTGCAGCGAAGATGATCATTCTTATCACATAGAGTTAATCAAAATTGACTTTGTAGTAGACGAGAAAGTAGAAATTGTTGTACGCAAACGTTGCAAAGCAAGTAACCAGTGCAGTTTACTACCGGGTAGCCTTAATGCAGTCTTGAGCGACTCTTCTGGTAACAATCTCACCTTCAACGTATTAAGTCTTCCAGATCATTGCTGGAAGCTGTCATGTAAACCATTTTGTGAAGGGAAGTTTGCAGCAGTTATCAAAGTTGACGAGAGACTGATTTTTGCAAGTGATTTGTATGTAAGCTCTCATTTTACTGCTCCTATAGAAGTTTGAGATTTGCAACACTTTTGGTGCCTGTATCCAATATATTTAAAGAACTAAAAAAGGCAGACTGAACTGTAACCGCCTCATCAAGGAAACCGGCGCAAAAATATGGAATATGGAACAATGATTTGAACTAACAAAAAGGAAACTCGCAAAAAGGTACGATACCCAATGTTGGGAGTATCAATTTACGCGAAGTGCCTTACTCGCAATGTTAAACATTTAATCTGATATAATCTTTTAAGTATAGGCTACTAAGATACGACCAGGCTTCACTGCCTACGGGAATCACAAAAACAATACAAATTTCTTATCCGGATTGAGTTATATTGTGTTAGCCCTGTCAAGAAAACTGTTACTGGATCGTATACGTATGATATTTATAATACTTATCTGCAAGTTCTATGATCAAATCCTTGACACGTGGAAGTTTCATTATTTAGCATTGCTTTTTTTGTTTCAAGGCAATTTTCACGCATTACAATGTAACTTTTTTAAGGAACGGCTGTTAGGCTCAAGTCACGGTTAACAAAAAACTTCAGACCTCACTTCCCACAACCCTATCCCAAAAAAAATAATGCCCACATAATTTCTGGTTTACACGTCTGTTATGAATTCTATCTTGTTATATTATTGAACAGAATGGCCAAGTCATGACGTCATGGATGTATGTTATAAAGGGCATAGACTGGGATTGCATTATCTGAAAAGGTCATAAACTTCTCATGCATGGGGCAGAAATGTAAAATACATCCTAATTTGGGTATAAAGTCCATCCCTATCAAACTGCTGTAATCTGGTTCTAAAATATTATGCTACAAGCCAAAAACACCATCATTTCAGTAAATTTAATTTCTTTCGCAGGCCATATTTCATCCAATTTGTAACAGAATCATTTGATTAGAGTCTTTCTATGATGTTCCTTCAAATTATACGCCAGAAATTGAAACATTCTTCTACAATATTCTAGTGACGTCATCAGTTTGTCATCTTTATCAAAACAAAGTGTTCTAGTTTGCTGAAGGATATTAAGTTTTTGTTTCAATTTATACATGATTTGATAAGCTGTTCAACCATTATTATTTAAAACATAGTTTAAATTTAAATAAGTTTAAATATTGCGTTTAAATTGAGTTCAAAATAACTAATCTGCAACTCATATGTAAACTTTGTCTTGTCAAATTACAGAATTACAAAAGGGCAATAAACATTTTTTAGGCCGATTATTTTCCGTGGCAAGCTATGTTTATTTAAGCATCGATTGTTTATAGAGGTCTTCAGAAATGTCTTTTAAATAAAACATTGTATCAAACACAGAATTGCCGGTAGACATTTTGTGCAAACATTGCAGTCATTAAGTCGGTAAAACATCTCATAACTATACTATCTGTTATTTTCAAAGTTGAATAACGTGTTTTTTAAAAATAGCAAGAAGGAAGATGGTCGTAAAGAAAAAGGAAGATAACTCTTTTCAAAGCCAAAAGATATTACTTGAAAACCCCATTGAAAAATGCCAAGACTGGCAGAAAAAATTTGCGACAAGGGTGCTGCCCGATTGCAGTTACTAATATTGGTTGGAATCGAACTCCAGGCTGTTGCTTCAGAAAACAATTATCTTTCCACTGAGGGAAATGACTAAACGAAGTCAGTGAATGTTTTTTGAATAGATTTGTTAACAATATACCCAATAGTATCACAAATTGCAATCAACGATAACAGAAATTTACACAAGGTCCATAGACGTATAGGGTGAGGTCAAGAAGAAGGGTTGACATTTTTTTGCTCGATAAATGATAACGCCCAAATTTTTAAGGAGTATACTTTAACACATGTGAGCTTCTAATATTAGTCAACAAAAGCTTAAAATGCAACATAATTCAAATAATGTTAACTAATAAGCATTTTTAAAACTTCACACATCTTCATTAAAATAAGCGCATCTCTTCCACGACAGCGACCAAATATATCGATTATTTTATCGATGTCTTTTTGCGAACATGATTAGCATCATTTTCAGCAATTCACGCACATTTTTGATTACCTGCCTATTCTTGTGATTATTGAACAGTTTGTGTTTCATTTCTAGGAGGTTAGAAACTCGTAATCTTTTTGTAGATGGTTTCATGATGGAAGCAAGGCTTTATGATGATTTCTGTCGAAGGGTTAGCATTCACGCTTGCATTCCCTAATCACGGGCCAGTGGAGTAACACATTTTGATTCGGCGTAACACAGGCACCTTGATTCAGCATTTTTCAACCTTTTCTATCCACGGCACATTATTTGAGGATAGGTATCGATTTTTTTCAATTTTATAGTCCAATTTAGTTAAATTAGAAAATTTTTCAAGGCACACTAGGCAATACTTCAAGGCACGCTAGTGTGTCGTGACACAGTGGATGAAAACATCCAAGGGCCCCCGACCAAAAGAGGCCCAAGGTGCTTCTTCGTCTAGATCTTTAAAGCTTTGCTCAAGTTCAAATAACTTTTGAAAACTTTGAAAGTTCCTCAACTGAAGCTTTAAAAGTCAGTTCTCCCTAGCTAACGTGAAAATAATTCTCATTTTCACCTTTCTCTGTTGTGTTTGACATGCTCTACACCATTTAATGTGATCTTCTTGCTGTCCGTGAATAGAAGTCTCATAGCAGTTTTTTGCTTAGGGCCCCAGGAGCCTCCGTTACACCAAAGCACACAGAATGCGATAGTCTACCACTAAATCGCCCATAGATTTCTTCAAAAACGGTATCCAGTACATTGTAGAAACAATTGAACAGAACTTTGCTTTCTGGATGGGTTTTGGGGTTTTAATTCTTGCAAAGAAAATATTGTGTCTTGTCCATTGCCTTCCCCTCTGGCCAGCCCAGTGCGTTTCGCTTTGTCCCTATTAGCCGGTTCATGTTCAATTTTTCTCTTGAAATTACATGTCTTTTGGTGTTGGCTTCAATGAAATTGTAGAGACCTTGAACAACACCCAGTCCATTTCTCATTGACTCACTTTCTGCAAGATTCAACTAATGGCCAAAGCAGGGGACATAAATGCCCAGCGGAGAGCAGTCCTCCTTTCGCTTTGCCAAGCCCTCAGCTTTTCCGCTTATTTTAGACTGTCAGAGCATTTGCCAGCAAGTTTCTACATACGTGTTTTAGACTGTTGGGGTAAGATGTTTCATTAATTATGACAGTATTACAACCACTTTCTTTGACTTCTTCGACAATCTTTTCAAGCACTAATTGGGCTGTTGCTGTTCTTGTCGCTTTTTCATGTTTTTCACCCACTAGATTTTTACCATATTCCATTACTTCCAAAAGCGCTCACGATTACGACCACTTGATCTTTCATCTCAGAGATTTTTAAGCATGTTCAAAGTGTAGTTCTTCTTATAATTTTTGTTTTTGGAGAAGGCTACTGCCCAAATTTGCCCGAAAAAATCAGCTGCCCAAATCTAGTCCATCCCATCCCGTCCCGTACGCCTATGACAAGGACCTTTGTTCAATCAAGTGTTGCCATTAAAAAAGACGTTAACAGCACATTTGATTAAAATCCAGATTTGTTTTCAAGACCAAAAAAATTCAATTTTCTAGATTTAAAACCTAGAAACATGAGAATCGTATCTGCTATTATTTCTTATCCTAAAATATCATTTTGTACAAATGTTTCATCTAAAAATATAAAATTACCCCCCTCCCACATTTATGCTTATGCGTTAAGGGTCTTGTAGCTTCTATGAATTTAGCTAAAAGATGAATCAAGACAAAAATTAAAAATAGCCAAAAGCTGAATAACGAGGCTCACCTGACACTTGATTGCGCTTAAGTTCATACTCAGTAATGTGTAAGATCATTTTGAAATGTTATTCTATGCCCTATTTTAAGTAGGCCAAATCATCGAAAGAGCTAAGACAGAATTAGATGAAGATGGGTATTTTCTGTTAACCTGGAGTGTCCAAATGCAATTGTGCTGGTTAAGTATTCGATTATGTGGAAAGCCGGGCAATTTTCACTGCTTGTAACAAAACAGGCAAATTGCCCTAGACTTTTAAAAGCTGAAAATGTCTGCCCCATTTGGATGACTCGCTTTTAAAATTTGACAAAAGAATGTAATGAAGTATCCGAAAATGAACAGTTTTTTAACACTTTATACCAAACTGTGAGAATTGAGAATTTTAAGTCTCTATTTTTTGCCAACTCCAGTCTCCATTTCAGCAATAAATAAACACAGTATTCCAAGAAGACGAATTCAGAAGGACAAATACCGCATTAGAAAAGTATGCACCAGATGACCCAAGAGTCACAAAATTAGTGTCGTTTCCAGCGGAATGGCTTTAAATGAAATCTTGTTACTGTTAGTCTACACCAGAAGCTAAACAGAATTAGTTATTTTTCTTATATTACATTAGAGTTTATCGAATTTTGCAAATCCAACTGTTGTCAAGAATCATTTAAAGGGCACCCACCAGCTATTTGTGACAGATTTCGCGAAGGTAACCCACGATGAATATGATGGTTACCATCGTGGATGAGTGGGGGAGCATTCGATTGCTCCTGTACACGAGAACATTTCAGACAGGAAAATTGGACCATATCCTATCGTGAGTTTGAAATAGATAAAATTTAAACCCATTTCAATCTTTTCTCAATAGTGTGCGACACAGCCATGAAATACTTGTATGTTCAACGTATTCCAAGATTGAGTGATGGATCCACATATCCCATAGCCAGAAATTTCTAGTTAAGAATAAACTGTATATGGGATTTGTTCGGGATTAGTCCTTTGTTTCGAAACAATACCGTCTAAACCAATCAATGTTGCAGGGTCATTAGTCCTTTGTTTTGAAACAATACCGTCTTAAACCATTCAGTGTTGCAGGGTCATTGCACAGACGCATTAATAACAGTATTCGCTCAACCGTTCTGTCTGTGACCACAGAACTCTTAAACTTCCTGCCAGGGCTTCAAGTTATAATGCGCATGTGCAATGACTCTAAAACGGGGGCTAGTGCATGTCTGGAAGACGGGCATGAATCATCTCTCGAACAAGGATTTAACTCTACAGAGGTAATTATAAAAGTTATCATCATTTTGTGGACGGTTTAGGATGGGATTGTCTTACAAATAAATTACATGGTTATTGACCCGCCCTCTGAAGACGTGGTCGACCCAACCCCAAAGTACACATCATCCAAAGACGTTCAATCATTTGATTTGTCCGGGGGGGGGCAATGTAGCTACCACTGTCGGGATGATTGAACATGTACCTTGCAACAAGGACATTATCATCCAGGGGCGGCGCCACAGGAAGGACATGTCCACCCCACATTTTTCAAAGAATTATCTTTTATTTCACCAAAATTGACAAAAAAATGGAAAGGAGAGGATTGATTCGTGTGCTTTTGACCTTGCTCCTTATAATCGATAACAAAATTCGAGCTTCAATGCCAGATTTAAGAGTGGGAATCCTCTTCCAATCTGGCTGGAACATGACATGGGCTGGAACGTGGCTGGAACAGAGCTTGACAATGTCGTGAATATGAAAATGCAGGGCGTCGAAAATTTCCACTTTTTACCATATAAAGAGCATGCTGCACTGCACTGTTTGCTATATAAAAACTTTGAAAATGGGAGTTTCGAGCACTTAAGAGGGCGTCACACCAAAAACATTTCAGAGCAAATTTTCTAATCCTCTGTCCACCCTACAATTTTCGAGCTGGCAGCGCCTCTATTTTTACCCAACATCCCCTCTAGATCTAAAATGTTGTCCGTATTTATCGAAACTGCCTGTTGAAATGCTCTAATGGTTTTTTTCTTGTTGCTTGAAGAAATGCTATTTTACGACAGAAGCCATCGATATTACAATGTATCACGAACTTTCATCCTAATTTATGGGGTTCATGAAACTCTGTTATACAATTATGAAGAAAGAAACCTATATTTTGGCAAGAAATTGACTGTGGAATTTCCTCGAAGACGCATAATGAACAAAAGAACCTTAAAACATTTGTCATTATGAGAACCTTTCTAATAAAGTGCTTAGTTTTCGCCAACAATATGGCCCAGATTAATAAAGAGGATGCATGAAAGTAATCATGTGATGATCAAAGTAATCTACACACTTAATCAGATTATTGTGGCCATCAATATGTCATAAGGCCAAAATCTGAGGAACACTCTTCTGGCGACGGTACGTTGTAGACAATTACACTGCCTGGATAAGGAAAGGATTCCTTTCAGGGCCTACGCAATGTGTTGATTCACGGATTCTCTTTTCTAAAGCCTTACGTAAGTCTGTATCCACAATTTGGACATCTGTCACATAAATTCTTCTCAGATTTGTCTAATTTTTTACCATCAATATCAATATTTATGTTGTACATTGTCGCATGATACCTTCCATGTCTTTTTTCACAGACTCTTTCAGAAGACAATCATTCTAGCAATGCATCATACAGTAAACCCATTCTTTCCCAGATGGAAAATCAATTGAGGCCTTGTTATGACACCGACAGCCGTCTTCGTCATATGCTTTGTTGAATAGAGATTTGTGTAACCTTGACAAATTTCTTTGTCAATTTTAGTTTTCATCCCACAAGCAAATTTTGGTTGTCATCTCCGGTCCGAAACTCTAGAAAAACATTTTTTTCCCTTTAACATTTACAATAAATTTGCTACAAAACAATGTCACAGGGAGCATGGAAATATATAGCAAATCTGCGACCATAACATTAGAAGTGCAAAATTTTGAATTGATACTTCATCTAAATATTACAAATTATATATTAAAAATCACATATAACAATAGCATTTACATTAATACACATGAAAGTTTACATTAACAAAAACAAATGTAAGACAAGACAAATTACACAAGGGAGAATACTTTTATCATTGAAACTGCTCGGAGGCCTGAACATATATTTGAATGTGGCCACCAAAAGTTTTTCCCTAGTCTACAGATACCTTTTCGTAGATTAAAAGGAAAATTTGCAATAAAACTTCTTTTGAAAGGGTTATAAATCCACATGGAAGCAATATCGCCTTCACATTGCCAAGAAGATCACATCTCTCTCTATCAGAAGATAAACGTATTCCGCATCCTCAGTACCTTAATTTTTTATAGAGCATAACGAATTTGAATCGCTGAACTTATGTTTAAATGTGTGAAAATCCAGTTTGCTGAGCCCGAAACACAGTTATGTTAAAATTTATAAATCTTTTGGTCGCGAATGTTGTAGACCATTTCTGAAAATGGACTGATTAGTGCTACTAGATGTTTCTTCAAAGCATTCACCAAGCAAGATAGTTTGATCTCAGGGTCAAGTTTTTCTTTTTCCGATGAACAGTTATGATAGAAGGTAGTTTTATACCTCTCTGCTTTCACTCCTATTTACCGTCTGCGATGACTTAAGACAATCCTTGATGTTGAGGCACAGGAATTCTTGTATAATTATGAGTCTTATTGTGACTTCCGGGTCATCATAGAAAGAGCAGGGCGTTCACTTCACTCCATCGACAGAGGTTTAGCGATTCCCAACCAAGTTCATCAAACATTTCTGGCAAGATGTACCTTTCAAAGCGTCAGTTACTGCCGATGCGCTAGAGAATTGAACCGACTCGAGTTCATCCATTGAATCATTGATATTTTGTGCAATGTGATATATAATGTCATCATAGTCAAGATGCGGGAGGAGACTTCATACAATTCATTGAGAGCATGCCGCGGCAAGTATTGTGAAAATAATCATATCATCCCTATCCCTTGTCTACATTTACTGATTTAATGGTGAAGGATAGTTTAGAATCAAGTATGATTCTAAGTTGTTTGTAGCACTCAATACTGGAATTCCATTGGAAAAATGGGGGGATGGTTTGTTGGAATTATCCAATTGCAAAGTCGCCTCCATCGCTAGCTCAGTTGAATCAGGATTAAAGAACAGTCGCCAATTCCTACATGAAAGTTTCGGATAATGGTTCCTATCAAGTGCAGCTTCGTGTGGATCACGAGCAACTGTGAAAATGGATGTGTCACTGGCATAGAGTCCACATTGAATTTTAAGCTATCAGTCAAGTCATTAATATGAGTCAGGAAGATTAGAGGACCTAGGATGCAACCTTGAGGAGCACCGGCGGAGTACTGCATAATGATGCTTTTTGAGAAAGCTTTTCATTAGGGATAGTAGTTTACCAGAGGCATTGACGCAGGTTGTATATTAGACCATGATACCAGACCCTGTAACAAACAGACGGTATTGAGAAGAACAGACCGACTACCTAGCGTGGGATTGTGCTAAACCACTAGATTGTGGACTCTTGATAGCTCAAGGAGACGCTTATATTCTGAGCCGGTAGTGATACCTTTTGCAGGTTGGTCTGTCTGTCAAACTCTTTGGGGTGACAATATGACAGTTTTTGTTCCAGCAATATTCAGTTACATATCCTACGTGTAAACAACAATAGCAAATCGGTCTTCCGTCCTCCACTCGATGGACGTTAGTACTATTTCTGAAGATGTTTCTCTGACCATAACACCTTGACAATTTTTAAACTTTCTACAAAGCTCTTTGACAGCGAATTTTACCAACCCAATGGTATCCATTACGTTAATACCAATATCAATGAACAAAACAACGAAAAGCTGATAACAGGCATTGGCAGAACGAATTCAAAATGTTGCTAAACCGATACAATGAAAGTCAGTGTTCTTAGCGGGAATGAATATCTTTTAATTTCGTTCGATTTCCGAAATGTCTCCCATAAATTAGTCATAAACGATCGACATAATAACTAGCAAACACAAAACGGGAGTTCTACAGAAAAATTATTTTGTGCTAGATACTTTTCCTCACACGGGGCGCCACTGGCACCAATATGTTAATCAAATACTTGCTTTGTTAATGGCTTAACGTCTGCGAATTCTCTATTAATCAAGTCTCAAGAAAACGGCATATCAATGATAATCTCACAACTGGTGATAATGCAAGCACATGCCCGGTATAGCTGTCCAATCGGTTTAGTTGTTCATTGGAAAGATCACCTGTGGTTGGTGGATTTCGATCCACAACTATTTTCTATCTCGTTCTATCATACCCTTATTCTGAAATTTTTTACTCTGAGGAGTGTCAGACGAAAAAACCTTAAAATGCTTTTTTCAAAGCCACTTTCAAATTTTTTACCGCCAAAAATTCTTCTTTAACATTTAACATCAAGCGACTACAATCTTACAAGTCGACGGAGCTTCTTTACGTCTTCGTCTTACTTCCTCTCTTGCCCTGTAAGAACGTCCACTCTGCTGAAACTACCTAAATCCAAAACTGCATGCTACTTAAAAATTCCAAAAACAGTTAGCAAACTGATTTTTGTGTAGCAAAGGAACAGCAGAGGATTTGGAGTCACTGAGTTGAAGACTACTTAAAATATTCTGCGAATGTAGCGCGCTCAGTTCTGATGTTAGATCTTACTTAGCATGAAATTAGCATATCGTAAATATCTTTGATAATATTAAGAGGTTTAAAATAACATGTAGGTTCTTGGGATATTTCAACGTGGATTGATAATCAATCTCTGCAGTTGCCATTTTAGATAAAGATAAGATAAAGAGATTTTGTCCTAAAAAGTATGAATTTTACAATGAATAAATGCTTTTCTTACACTGAGTAAATCCAAGAATAGAAAATGAAATAAGATTCGACGTAGAATGATCTGCTTTCCTTCTGAAAATTGCTTTGTCTTTCCTGAAAAAGTGCAGTGATAAAAATTCTATAGAATAACCTCTATGGAGATTGGCTGCAGAGATGTGGTTTTATAGATGAATATGTAGGATTACCGTACCGTGGTGTCAAATAAAGACGTTTTGAACATAGCTGGAACAGCTAGAAATTTAACGAGAACCATCCGGCAGGGTCGATTGAGTTTCTGGGGCATTTAATGCGCAGGAATGAGTTGGAGAAGGTAGTTCTCACAGGAATGGAAGAAATTTCACTTGTTTTCCGTGAATTGAAATCAAAATTCCTGTTGGTGAAGATCTGGTATTTAGATCGGACAATATTATCCAAAATGACTGTCTTTATTTTGCCTGCTCCTTGCCATGACCCCTTAAATCGTCTGGAATAAAAGGGCTGGTAAAAAAAACCCCCGCTAGCAATTAAGTGTTTGGTTAGCCGCTTATTTAATGGAATATAAAAAGGATTTCTTAAAATCTGTTTTCTTTTAATTAATAAAACTGTTCAGTTTCTAATGTGTTCACTCTTATTTTGCCTTGATGCGCTTTTTCACGCTACAATTGTACACAGCTTCGTTGTACACACCTTGAAGTCTCTTAATACAGGAGGCTCGAAAATGATAAACAGCAGGTCTGGAATAAGGATATCACGGGCCTAGAGATTGGATTCTATCTTTTGGTTACAGCTGGGTATTTGCAAAAGTTAATAAACTTGGATTCTTATTCTGTGGTTGGTGTGCATTTTATTCCTGACTTAAGAGTAGTAAATGTGGAGGCGCAGAAGCGGTAAAATAACAAATCAGGTTCTTTCATCACTGAGTTGTGTTTCAAAAAGTTGAGATGTAAAAAGCCAAAATGGATGGGCAGGTGGAAATATCTTTTGATATCTTGCGTGCATGGGAGCTGACAAATCTTTACGAAAAGGCTTATTTCTTTTCCGTTCATGTTTTGCTTCTTTTTCTTGGGATTTATTCGATTCGGAAGCGTGCCTGCAACTCCAGGGCTAGGCCTTCATCAACCACAGCAACTGGATCTGGAGATGATCACGTTGCACGAAAAAGTGCAGGTAGTACTGACAAAATCAAAAGTCAAGATGGGAGGAATTTCATATGGGCTAATCAGCTTGCACTTTGGCTACTTAAAAATAGCACATCTTATGTAAACAACACGTTTGATGCTTGGAGATCAAAGATGAACGGACGGTTGCTATCGACCTCTATTGATGTAAGTGCTGCTGCATACAAGCAACAATAATCGCATATTTTATGCATAGTTTATTCTGTTAACCATGTTGAAAGTGCGGTAAGCGCGTGATACTATTCACCTTGCCATTTTCAGTGTGCATGTGGAACAGAAACTGAAACTCAATAATGGCTTCCAAAACTGACTGGCAAAATCTTACTCGATCACAGTTTCTTTTGTTTTTTTTGTGATTTCTATGAATTTCTATAAAGATGCTCTTTAATGAAAATTATGTGACATGTGGCTATGATATATGACATCAAGATAAATTATGAACTTAAACCCCATAATAATTCGATTACTCACCCCCTCAAATAAGAACCCCTCTTTTTGTATCAAGATTTAAATATGCCCCCTTTTGAATAAGCTCTCCGCTACTGTCTTGTCAGATTTGGATAAAAGCAGCAAATTGACCGCATCTCCTTTAAAACCCATATTGTAGTTTCAGAAATTTGATAGGACTTTTCCACAAATCTTGTCGCTTTGATGCTGGGTTCAAAAAGCAGCCCTCAAAGATCAGGTTTTGAATAAACCACCTTTCACGGTATGCCCCCCTGCTTAACACTGAGTTTTGCATTAGGCCTCTAGGCCTTCTTAAAATTATTGCACTGCTATTTGTTTCCTATATGAAATTAAAATATTCTAATTCCAAAATTTGTTGTAGGCAAAGGTTCATATTGAAGATATAGACAAAGAATCTTTAAGGTTTCAAGTAACAGGAATCAATTCAAAGCAGTCACTCAAAGATGGTCAAATGGTATGGGTATTTTACATTTTCTCAAAATATTAAAAAATATATATAAGATACATTAACTATAAACATTTCATCGTGACAAAATTTCTGACAAATATTTTGACAAAATTTTCCTCAACTATATTCAAAATGGGTTGAAATTTGGTCATGAAATTCGAAATTTTTTTGCCTCTAAGATTTTTGAGAATTCCCATAGAAAAACTGTTGCTTTAAGTCAGGAATCAAATTTATGTATCCTTTTAATCTTTTCAATGTCAATTAAGCCGTTTTCCCCATTTTCATCATCTTCATAATTATCTTTAATGTAGGCATCATCATAATCATCATCACAATCATCATCATCATTGTTGGCTCTCCGTTTTTGCCATCATTTGATAAAAATAATTCTTAATCAATGGTGTAGCAAGGGGGAGGCAAGATGGGGTGGAAGCCCCCTCCCCCAATGGCAAAAAATATCCTTGAAAAAGGGTGTTTTCTGGCATTAAAAGGGTTTAGGCCCCAATTTGTTACTTGCTCAACTTGTCTTTGCCCCGCAACCCCACAGCGATGCTACTGGTATAACTGTCTTTTGTCACCGGTTTCAAAAGATTCCACCTCATTCGTTTAAGGTACCTGCACTTTTCAACCCAAATTTCCTGACCAATTTTCCTATTGGAGATGATCTTATGCTCTCCCAATCTTATATTTATATTCAATTATACTTTTAATTATACTTTGTTTATGAACTTCATACCATTTAGATAGAGACTCTTTGAATGCTTAAATAATCTCTTTTGACCCCAACTTTGCATAAACTGAGTAAATATACCGCTTTAATTTGGTTTTCCTGACATGCTGTTCTGTGTAAAAAAGCTGCCTGCGGGAGGGGGGAAATGAGCCAAATTCCGAAATGATGCTGAAGCCCCCAAGTCTCCACAAAGTCGGTACCTATGAGATTTATTGAAAAGCAAACTGTGTGTGTTTGCCTGTTAAGACTTTTTGATATGTTGCTGTCTCTGTATTAAAAATCTACGATGAAATTTTGTTGTGATGAAATTCTGAAAAGTTGTCCAAAATTCTTTCTGACAAAGTTTATGCACCAAAAAATTTATCTGAGGAAATTTGTTGTTGTTTAAGTATGTATATATGTAAATGAATGAATACATTTGGCATCATGTGTTTAATTATGTATATATGTAAATGAATGAATACATTTTGCATCATGTGTTTAATTATGTATATATGTTAATGAATAAATACATTTGACATCATGTGTATATTCACTAAACATGCTAATTTATTATAAATATATCATATTATACATTCATTTGAAAATATTTTCCTCTATAAGTATTTTTATTTTTATTAGCTAACTTGTATATAAATATAAATATATTGTATAATTTTATAAATATATTGTTAGCTATCGTGTTTAAGTGGATAAAAATAATTTGCAACAACACCAACATGCTAATCAAAGCTTTACTTAAACCCAAGCTCAAACTAATATACCTATTCCCTCTTGTGAATTGAAACACATCAATTGACTTCATGTCAAGTTGCACAACAATATCTTAAAGAAGACTGTATCATCTGTACCTTCACTTCTCCTTTCTTAATGATGTTTTTCCTACTTTTCCTTCCAAATAAGCTAGTGTTTGTTCCCTTGAAACAATCTTCCTGCACATGATGGTCCCGAGAAAGCACAACAACTCTTTCTGTATTTTTCTCTTTTTTTTATAGAATATTGCAGTTATGCTTCATGTTGAAGAATTGAAAATGCAAATTCAGTACATGTGTGCAGATCAGCCATTTTTGTCCACACAGCTGAAACTTCAGTCAATTGCCTCTGTGGTATGTAGAAAGAAAATTCTATGCATTGTATTCTTTTTATTTATTAAGTAGTTTGAGCCCTCATTCCAGCTAAAGGTTAAGCATTTATTGATTTTTCATTGTAAGATTTTTTCCATAGAAAGAATTTTATCAAATAATGTGTGATTTTTAGATCTGTTAGTGTACATTCTGTTCAACTTTCTGTTAAACTTCTGTCTCCAGCAAAGATGTTAGTACTGCAATTTTTTGTTGGTCAGATAAAAAGGCAAAAGGTGTGTTGACTCTATGAATGACAGTCAATCAATCCTGCATTATTTTTCATGGCTCCTTTTAGACAAATGTCTGTTTGGGGTAGCTGCCAGGGGCGGACTGGCTAATTTTTTTGGCCCGGGCAAATTATGATCAAACCGGCCCACAAAGATAGCAAATAAAAAGCTACACGGAAAATGCAAGTAAATGTTAGTCTGTAAGGAAAACAAGTTTTTAAATTCAGTAATTTTGTGCATGGATGAATGCTGGTTAACAGAACATGTTAAATATGTCATTTCCTGACTAAATAGTAAATAAACAAAAATTTGAACTCATTGGTTTGACTTTCTTTTCTAAATACAGTAACTTATATGTTGATAATGTGATCGTTCTAGATGTCATCTAACAGGTGTTTTTCTAAGAACATTAACATGAAGGACTCCAGGTTTGGCTGCGAAAAATTACCACGTAATCTGTTCTTTATATATTTAAAGTGGAAAAGCTTCTATCACACTCAACTTGTGACAAATAATTTTCTAATCCTCCGGAAAACCACAATGATTTTCAGCAGCCCAAAAATATCGATTTGTCAATTTCTGACCCCAGTTGAAATTTTATCGTGTAGCACCATACCCCTGTTGGGCGGGGGTCCATTTGACTTATGATAGTATATGCCTAATAAATTTACCATAACTTGTATGAGTTTATTGAAAGGAGCAAAAGCAAGACCCTGCTATTTTTTGTGACGTTTGTGGCTTTTGCTTGATAAAAAAAGCTTTGTATCGTAGCTGGAGTCTCGCAGCTTTTCCTTACGAAATTTCTGTGCACCACCTTTGGTTGAAGTCTTCTTGCTCTTCCCTTGTTCTACGTATGTCCTCTTCATTACTACACATCACAGAGCAAATCGCGTAGTGAACTCTAATTTTTGGACTTTTAAATTTATTACATTCAGCAATAGCTTGTGCTTAGGGAAAAACATGTCCAGCTTCAAGCAAAAGCTAAGTAAAAAGACATCAGGGCAGGTTAAAATCTTAAGACCCGGCAAAACGACTGGACATTTTCACTGAACATGCACTGGACAAATGTCCAGCGTAAATGTTGCGTCGTTTTGCCACCTTGTCCAGTCTTGTTCAGCGATGTTGAATGTTGTTCAGTCGATTTTGAAGGCAGCCAAAAATTTTCAGTGGACAGGATTAAATTTATTTTGTCCACTGATGTTATTCAGAAATTGTTCAGTCGTTTTGCCACTCTACTGAACATTGTCCAGTTCGCGCACGCGCAATCGATTAATGTTTTGGATTTGGCGTCAATTTATTTCCCATTTTCAAATCTTCAACAAACTTTCCTAGTCAACACCGCGAACGAAATGGAAACAACGTGAAAATTCAATTCGACCAATAGCAGAAAAAGGCATTTCATTAGTAACGACGAGTCTTCTGATCAGATTAGCTTTAGTTCCGATAAGGAAAGCGATGTCAGAGAGCACGAGGATGGTGATTTTGATGAACCTAGCCCTAGCCACTTTTCAATAATACACTCTAATTCATACGATAACACGGTTAGGGCTATAAAAGTGTATTTTCAAAGGTAAAGAGATGTCCTGTTGCCAGTTTTCCCACCCGCATTCTTCAACAGGGAAAAAGTTCACTTGACAATGTTCAGTCGTTTTGCCATAACCAATAATTTCTGGATGTCCATACTCTGAACAATGAGCAATGTCTAGTGTGTGACCAGTGCAAATGTCCAGTCGTTTTGCCGGGGCTTTTTGTATCGCTTTGAAATAGGGATGTTACAGTATAATATGTCGCCAAAAAGGAAATACCGTCGAGAGAAAATATAACAAAATGTCAATAACATGTTCCCTGAAGAAGTGTGTATATTTATTCTTTCCCAAAAAGTCTCTGAAAATTTAAGGCAAACAGATTAACGCGTGGGTGTACTTTTTTGCCTCGCATTCACTTTTTAAGCTAATTTATTTTTTTGCACTTTTATCAACCGGCCCTTAAACCGACCGGCCCTTCGGGCGATCGCCCGAATAGCCCGACCAGCCAGTCCGCCCCTGGTAGCTGCTATATATATTATTGTAAGAACCATCCTGTTTTACAATTCATTTTTAACACACTGTGTCCTGCACTGTAAAACAGGCCGGTAAAGCAGTAATCTTTCGTAACTGTTTAGGTAACTAAAATAATAGACTTCAGTTGAAACGTTTATGCATCTTTTGTTAAAATATATACCTACCAGCTCATGTCTCTTTTGTAGTAATGGAATCAATATTTTTTGTCAGGAGTGATAATTTTCTGCTTACAATTTTCTTCATATACATTGGCATAGGCCTGCTACCAGCTGTCCCTCCCCCTCTCTCCCGAGTTGCCCCTTTTATGTGGACGTTTGATAGAATGTTTTCAAAATTTGAGTCATTTGAAGAATGTTTTCATCATAAAATAACCCAAACTTACTAGAACTGTCAAAATTTTGTTCCTGGATCAGATCCCACTAGAATTTGATTAACAGCCAAAAATTTCACTTGGATCAAAGAATTGGAGCCAATTCCTATGGTTCAAGGTTATGGTATCAATTCCTAGGTTATGGTACCAAATTTATTTGCATTGACTCCTCACCTACCACTTTATATTTGTTGTGATCCTTAACTGGAAGAAATTGTATTTTTCTTTATCACCAAACACGTTTCAGGCATAGGACAAAAATCCTTCCTCCACACCTGTCATGACACTGTTTGTAAATTTTAAAGCATCTTTCTATCTTCTTAAATAGCTTCACATTAAACTGGTCAATGTCAATTCAAAGCCCAAGGTTTCACTTTGTCTTGATGGATTTTCAATAAATGACTGCAACATTTCAATAGAAAAGGTATGTGTAATTTATTTTACTTTTTGAAAGTTTGTTCATTCTGTGTTCTATCAATTTAAATCCCGAAGCTCCATCTGTCCCTAGATTTGCTAGCTATTTGCTGAATTCAGAGTTACTTGAATCTTACACTACCTCTTATTGAGGTTTCAAGTGAATTAATGTGGAATGCATTATACCTCCTGAGGGAGCAGTCTATTGCCTTACTTGTTTGTAAATCTTCTCAATTGCAAAACCCTTTAATTTGTCATGGTGCATGTAAATTTGTTGTAGGAAGTCAATGAAAATGACATGGCTATTATAAAAGACGCGTTTAAGAAATCGTTGCAAAACAGTGTCAGTCTTGATATAACTAAGGGAATTTTGAAAAAAGAGGTTTGTATGCCATTGTATGTGGCTGTAAAATTTTTACTTCAGTTTCATTGTTTTGTTAGTTACATGAATTATTTTCGTTTTTCAAAATTATTGAAGCTTGTGTACCATGTTTTGAAGAAGAACCCTGGTCCTAGATAGCATCACACACTGTCAGTTACATTGCACAAGGGTGCTATAGAAAGGGCATAGGAGCCAATCAAAACGCTAGGACGAGTGTTTGAAAATATCATTCAGTTAATCATGTGTTATGTTTCCGCTGTTTCTTGCCATTTTGAATTGTACAACGTTTCGCCTGTTTTTATGTGCATGTGTTTGTTCACATGTTGTTTCTGACCTAAACATTGTTTAATACCGTTACTGCAGGTTATAGCAAGATAGTAATAAGACTTTTTATTATGTTATAGAGAAACCAAGTTTGACATTGTTTGTCTGTAATCTAAACAAAAATAGCATTTCCAAGCCTCGTTTTTGTATAGTTATAACGAGATTGGCGTAATGATAAAAATAAGAATGTGTATGTAAATATGTGCATCAGAACTGATACAATAGAAGCTGGTCATGCATCTAACATTATCGTATTTTAAGTCTCTGCTTAAGGCCGACCTCCACTTGGCCGCGCGTACGGAAGATTTAGGAAACCGAAACCACGTACATACATTCAACTGGAGATAGCATGACCACCAGCGAAAATATGCAAACAAACATGGCAGTTGTAAATCTGTGAAGAAAGTTGTTGTTAGAAAGTGAAGAAATAGAACGTCATTTCTATCTGAAACTAGCCAGAAAGGGACGGTATTGCGTCAGGGAAATTAACCAGCAACAAAAAGTTGAAGGTGAATACAATTTTCTTATTCGACAAGTACAAGTGTCGGATACCGAAATAATTTGAATGATGTTTCGAATGTCAGCTTCAAATTTTGAAGAATTATTAAGATATGTTGCTCCTCATTTGATTCGGAAATCGATAAAAAGGGAACCAATTCAGCCTCCTGAGTGTGTGTGTGTTACATTGCTTTTCCTTGAAAAGGGTGATGCATTCAACACTACCGCTGCCAACTATCGTATGAGCGGAGGTTTTCAGTCAATCTGATTGGATAAATGTCAGTGAACAACAAGCGGCCGCTCTGAAAGTCGCCTTGAGCTCGACTGTCATACGTGCAGAAAACTGTCACGGACGGCCGCCTGACCTGTCTACGTGATTCTCAATTTATTGCCTTTGAGCACGCGCCAATTTAATCGCGCCGTACGCGCGGCCAAGTGGAGGTCGGCCTTTACGCGCTGCGTTTGTCAACGAGACATAATTATCTTTCTTGTTTTCTTGCATATTTGATAAGCAGCTGCTACGCTGTTGTTTATTTCATAAATGAATATGAAGTCAATGTTAGCAAGAACATAGCACACGCTGAATAACGTAATATGGGGGCTGAGACTTTATTAGCTTCTGAGACTAAATCGTTGCTTATCAGTTGTCAGTTAGTTTTAGTGGGTGTTTGTCGAAAGAATGAGGCTTTCACTGTATTGATTTAAAAGCCCTATTGAAAGCAAAGCTGACATTAGATCTGTTGCACCTGCCTTTTCCATGCATTTTCGCACCCTGACTATTAAAGTGTTTCTTGTTTCTGCTCTTCTCATGCTTTCCAAAAGCAGTGCTCTGTTTCTCGTGTCAAAATGCTCCTCAAGTATGTGACAAGAATCGCATCACTCATGCATAATATATCACTGCCAGTTGTGCTCGTGTTCAATGTAATATTCGGAACTGCAAATGCAAACTTTTAACTTTTAATTTGCCCACACTTAGACTAAAAAGCCTTTGAGCTTTTACAGTCAGCTTAAATTTCAAAGGTGGTTTTTCTATCACGCAGCCTCTATTTCCGCATCTAACTGCTTCTTGGTAATGCGTCTGAACCGATTTTTCTTTGTTTATGCTAACCTAGGCACACCGAATGCTCCAGGCACTCTCGTCATGTCTTTGCTCCCCTGCAAACATTTTGTAAAGTAACTATTTATCTGTCTTTCATTCATTATAATTATCATTACACAAAGTCAATGTTCTTATATATTCTATCATTAGCATCATATAGATTGTTTCTAAACAGCTTCCTTTCAAAAACGTACCTTATTTATTCAAAAATGACTAGTTTTTAGATATATTCAAAAGTCTCAATAAATTATCCATAATTTCAACATAGTAAACACAATAAATTATTCCGGTGTCAGTCTTTCTTATCACTAGCAATCGTTGAGTACAAAATTTATCATAATTTTATGTTCTCTAATGCAAATAAAAATCTCAATTAAACCTGATTACATTCGAGTGTCAAGAAAATAGGGATTTTTCTCTGGCTTGTTTTCACGATCTTTGCACATGACTACAAAGGAGCTACACTATGTTTCTTATATCCCATGAATGCCAATGGACGATTTATGAATTTAACCTCATTTTGTGGTCTGTAGAAGGTTAGTTTCCTAGCCATAGTTAATTTCATATTCTGAAGACATTTTTTATCATTTGATCATTGTTATTAAATTTCTTTTTGCCATTCCTCATTGCTTTAGTTTTGTGAAAGGAGTTTATGGTTGATAACGAATACGACTTATATTCATTTCAGCTAAAAATAGAGGCAAAAACCAAAGAAACACAAGCAGAGGAAGATGAGATTGACGGTATTCGGCTTTTACAATTTACACATTTCTTATTATCTTGGCTGCTAGAAACTCGTGCGTATAGAGATTCCGAGTGTATACAGACAAAATTTATAATAATTCTCGCGGAATGCTCGCGGTTTTTCTTCTGCGGGCTTAACGCGGGTTGTACATCAAAATATGTTTTGCGAAAGATACAAAACCGTGTACTTTGATTATTTTCTTAGCATGCATCTGTTGAAGTTAACTTTTCCCATGTAACAATGTTCGATCCTTTTTTTACGTCAATGAGAAAGAACATATGCCGGCCACTACGTTCTTCGATATTCCTTGTTTTGTTGACTTCCTAATACGGTTTATTTGTTAGTCTTTCTTCTTCGAAGACTTGTCTCGATCAATTATGTACGAGAAGATCACTTAAAGTTGTTGAAACGAGTAAAAATAAGGTATTTGTGCCTGACCAATCAGTGCGAATAGGCACATCTGTCGTCACTACGTTTGACACTGATTCATTATTTGTCAACTTTATTTGCGGTCCTTTCCAAGTTTACAGCACCTGATCGTGGTGTTTTTCAAGGCCTGTATAACTCATAGTCTTTCCTGTGCTCGAGCTGGGGTGAGTTCGTACTCTTGTTGTTCTTTCATACTGAGCTGCCGTGTGGGTTTCTGTTAATAAGTAGCTACGAGCTTTTTTATGAACATAAGACAGAAAAAAACAGTATTTACCCTTTCATTGTTTTGATAACACATATTAGATAGTTCCCTAAGCAGGTTGTTTGATTTTGATTTCTCAGTAAAAACACAACTCTATACACATATGCACGTTGAGAATATCTCGAGATCAACTTCCAGTGTTAGTGTTGGTAAATCTTGATGCAAGATGGTGAATCTTTTTGATACTAGTTGACTTTGATTGTTCAGACATGATTGCTCATATACTCATAACTGATCCTGGTACATATAATCTTCTAAACAGCTCCAATTTATCCAGCTCTTCATTTGATCACAACAATCGTTTATGTTAAAACACACTAACGTTTTATGTTGTTTTTCAGTTTATCCTTGTTGTTTCTTTTGTAAACTGACCGATCCTTCAAAAAATTTCCTCAATTATTATGTATATACATTTTATATTACGCTTTGGAGTATAGAACAAGACGGCTCTAAATAGCAGCTCCGAGTGTTAAGTTTTTGACAGATATCCGACGATTGCATTAAGCGTGAAACTCGAAGTAGCAACTTAGAGTCGTCTTGTTTATAGACCAACGCGTGCACAGCTTTGCCTATACGACATTGGGCACTATATGACAGACCGGTAAAAATTTATTTGCATTACATTTTCTATTGTATCATGAGTGATCAAGGGTATTTTTGTTGTTGGTCTTAAAGATCCTGATTGTGATATCTTATGCTAAAGTGGTCCAAAGATATTGTAATCTCTTTTAAAATCTGTTTTGTCTAATATTATTTTGAAATGATTATCGCAAAATTTATCTGATTTGTTTGTCACAACATCCACTCTCTTTAAGTATTTTCTCACCTTTTTTCCTTTTGATTTTTGGTCGTCTTTTTTTGTGTTGCATCAATACCCTACATATCAAAATGATAGTATTACATCTCACAAATCAAAGAAATTTTAACAAACACCAACCTGCAGTTAACATGCATTTATCTTACGAGAAATCATCTTCTAATAATTTCTCTTGTCATCGGTTGATTTTCACTTTTTGTAATTAATAATGTGTTAGTTTTTACTTTTCTCTTTAAAAGACTCTGAAGTGATTCTAGAAATTTTGATTAATTCTAGAAACTCAAAGGCATATTTTCGTCACCGACTTAGACTCGGCCATTGCAAAAGTTGCATCTGAAGAAGCAAATATGAGACGGATTGTGATTTCAAAGCGAGAGTGTCGTGGGCCAAAAATCAAAATCCCCTCGCAACGTATGATTGCTACTCCAGAGATCACAGTGCAGCCAGCAACACCTTTAAATGATGCAATCGATCAAGGCGTGTTTATTCCTAAAAATCCGATAAAAGATGACATAGTACCAAGCTATTTGTCACTTGGCGAGGGTGAAACTAAATGCTTGGAAACGCCAGTGGAGAGTTTAATGTCAGCAAAAACAGACAGCGATGAAAGTGCAATTAGCAATGTTGTACAGGAGAAAATTGAAGCTACAGAAAGCGACAACCAAGTTCTTGATACCATTGGCTCAGCTCCTGCAATACTGGTGGAACAGCCACAAAAGACTGACGTCACCCCATTGGAAGAAGTTGAAACTAAAGAAATGCAAAATATACAGTCTACCTCTTTGGAGGAAAAACAAGATGCGCCTTCACCGTCGTCTAGTGAAAGCTCAAGGGATGATAGACGAAGGCCTAGGCCTAGAAGTCTTTACGAGTTGGATCGTGAAGAATGTGACTCGGAAGGAGATTTTGAAAGATTCGGCGACAAGTCATTGTCACCAGAGAAGAGTACCAAAAGCAAGTTAGGGAGAGTTAATACGTTTCATCTTGGTTCAAAGTCGATGATGTCGATTGGTGAGTAAAAGCTTTAAGATACTTTGATATAGACAAGGTATAAAGAAGCAATTTCCTTTTTATTTCATGAGAATGTTTTGTGTTTCATTAATCATAGCTCATGAAATGTTTCGGACCTGAATCTTTTTCGAGTTCAGACGATTTCAGAAGGTATATAATTAGGAATTAAAGTACAATAGTACTTGAAAAAATAGCGAATTTGTTAACGAAATTTCGAGTATAGTCTGTTACCAGACTTAAGGTACAAGGTAAAAGAGTCAAAGAGTAGATTAAACTTTTGAAAGGCGAAAACGGTGAAAGAACTTTGGCTATTTAATGTTAAATTAGATTTTTATGAAAAACTATAAAATAACGTCTTTTCGCCAATCTAGTGTTTTCATTAGTTTCAAAGGATCAAAATATTGCTGAAGCATACTTTTGTAAATAATTGTAATAAACTGCTCAATTTTATATATTACCTTGCCATAGATATGTGGAATGTTTTCAAACCCAGTACTGTTTCAGGATAAATAATATCTCGTAGCTGTTGAGAAAATCAAAATATTTGCACTATCTAGGGTATTTCAGGCCTATTCGATCTTCAATCCTTATGATGTACCATACTGTTCTTGAAACTGATATTTTTTCCTAAACATAATAAGCCGTGATTTATTAAGCCGTGATTTATTGACCTTCTCCTATCGAGGATCTTAGTATCTTTGAAAAATGACATTATGTTTTCAGGAATAATCTGTTACTTTACTGTTCGCTATTTTGACGTGAAACAGAATTATTTTTCCGATACTATATTACTTAATAATCATTTTTATTCTAGCTGTCACCCCAAAAAGATCAAATAGTACAATGTTACGTAAGTCTATATATTTATATTTTCCACAGTGCAGTTAATTACCGGTATCGATTAGCTTGGTGATATGTTTCTGCCTTGGAAAAACTACAAAGTTTTGTTATAGTTTTTAAGAAATTTCAAGTTTATATCGTTAGTCTGTAGCAGAGTTGCAAAAAGTATCGGAACTTGGGAACTAGATTCCAAGAAAAAATTTTTCACTTGGCAGAAAACCTTTTCAGCAAAACCTTTTAAAAGACAGCTGTTTTTACATCAACAATGACATAAAATGAAAGGCTAGAAAAGGTGACTTGTAAGTATGAACAGGTAACTAGATGCATCTCCCCTAAAGTTGGCATCTATTGTATTTGCCAAATACAAAAAAGATGTAATAAACAACCAAATTACGACATTTTATTATAAATTTTCTCTAGACCCAACAAATAAGAAGCCCTTGTGTAAAAATTTGTGCGTACTATTTGGAGAGCTATAGTATACAATACTTTCACCTCACAGAAAAATTCGTGTCATGTTTCCCAGGTTCGTAGAAAGGAAAATATTTTTTTCAGCTCTGGGTAGCGTCGTTGTAAACTCAATTATTACGGATTCAAAATTATTACAGTTGCTGTACACAGTTGCTGTGATACATGGCTGCTAAAAATTAGCATACAACTGTTTTAAACCTTCCACTGTAAGACCTCAATCTCTGGTATAACAGAGACCTGCTACAAAGTCCTTGCTTGGGATGATTGTCTTAAAAAACTTTCAAAGCGCATACGATGAACAGAAGGCTTATCTGACGATTAAAGAGAGTGGTTTTTTACATCACCGGCCTGATTTCTTCAAATAAGCAAACCCGAGATAACAGGTGTTACTAAGTTTTTGCTGTGTCTTCCATCCTTTTATCTGTGACTCAATCTAAGGACGTTCAATTCAGTTTTGCTCTGTGAAAAAAGCTTTTTAAAAAACAAGCGAGTTTACCGGCATTACCAAGTTTTTCGAGAACTGCTTTTTGCTCTTAGGAAAACTTTGTATTACCTGAAACTGCTCAGTAATCGCAATTTGGTTCCATTGATTACAATTCTTATAGAAACAGCGTCCGATAATTCAAACTCATCATTAGCGTCCGAAATTAATTGTAATTATCGGGCAGTTGAACTGTAGAGATTTTGATTGAATCATTCAAAAGATAGATGTTGACGTTAGAGTTTTACTCCTTGGTTTGCTGCAGGATCCGCTACCAGTCAGTGGTCACTGACGTCACCAGTTGGATACAGCCCAAGCAAGCCATCTGCATTGGTAATTGAAGCCGATGAGCTTGGTAAAAAACGGTTAGTTATTTCTATGAAACTATTCTCTACTTTTTATAATATATTTCGTATTTCTTATTTTGCTGTTATGTTCTAGAGCCCAAGCGAAAATATGCCTGTAATTGGCCAATCACGTTATTTATGTTGCTATCTGAGACCTCTCGGGGGTTATTTTCTCCTCAAAAGTAACATACCCTATCATTTTCATTTTACAACACTCTTACTAATGTATTTTTGCCACAGGTACTTCCATGTGCCTCCTGCTGTAGCAAGAAAAGGGACCTACGAGCAACATGGAGTTAAGCTTCATGTTTACAGTGGACACATTTTCATTGCCCAGCACTTCAACAAACCGTGAGTCTCCTAGCTCTTGCATAATGCCTTTACTTGTCTTTGATCTCACATCTCTGTTATCAGATCGTAGATACTTTTTTCTTAGTTGATAACTGATAAACTGCACAACCTATGCGTTCAATGCACATTTGGTGCTCTCTACATGACAAGTATAACATTGCACCAAAGCATTATCTGCTTATCAGCACTAATTTGCGTTTTCAAGAGATTCAAGTTGAAACAGAGAAAAATACTCACTTCTTGTAAATTGAAATTGGTGGATTTTTTAAAAGTTTCAATAAATGCTAGATGTGATTTACTTTTCAATGTTATAGAAACCCTTGTTCAAACTTAAGCATTCGGCACCCCTCCTCTCCCCTCCCCCTTATTTCATGCTTTCTAGCTGACAATCCTATTTAGACGGCTGGAAGGTTTATATTAGTACTGAGTTGAAAATGAACAATTTCCGAGGAGGGGGGGATGGCTACATGTTTGAAGCAGCAGAGGTTTGATTAAAAGGTACTTCTAGTCTGGCCGGAATCATTTTTTTAGCATTGTAAGTTAATGTGGTTCGACCCATTTTGTTAAACGTTCTGAATTTTTTGTGTTTGTGAACATTGCTTATGTGCCTGTCTAGTGATTTTGATTGTATTCTGATCTATCAGGCTGCCTCCATGCGCTGTTTGCAGCCTTCCACTTGCAAGACGAATGGGCAAGCAAGGGTACCAATGCAGAGGTAATACACGTAGCATTCTATTAGTCTTAGAGAAGCAATTAAGAGATATTCAATTGACCTATCCAATAGGAAGAACATGAGATTTGTGCTCACAGCTTGAAGTTTGATAACAGCACGACATTGTGAATAACTTTGACATCTCTAATGATTCAGGTTTGTAATATTTTTGCAGATTGCAAGATCATAACACATAAACGATGTCACACATTAATCAACCATGTCTGCGAAGAAAGCAGTTTTCCAGCTTTAAATATGTAAGTAAAATTGAAAGCTGAGGTGTACTAGTATTATCGTCAAGAAAGTTATTTTTTTTCTTTCTATTTTTGTTTTGTAACTTTTGGTAACTTTGCTGTTGGTTTCTGCAGTGGGTCTTGTATGGTTGTTTCTTTTTATGACAATTAGGTTTATATATAGACCTGTGAAGATATTTTGTAAGTTGAAGTTAGAGTGTAAAAAGTTGAGTATTCTTATTAAAGGACAACTGTTTTCAAAGCTACAACCCTCGGCAAAAATGGCTGAGAGATTTTTAAATAAAACCTGCAGTTTCCTGCCTCTTTCCGTCAATTCAATGTCGACTCACTTTACTTGACTTCTAGATGAGGCCAGCATCGGTCTTTCTAGGGAAAGTAGTGTTATTTCTGATTAACGGTGAATTTAATTTCTGAATTTTTAACATTATATTTCGTCACAAAAGTATCGTCCAAGATTGTAGATATATTGTCAAAGCTGCCTCCGTAATTTGTCAAATTTTGGCCACCATAGGTATGCAGGAAATGTGTTTTTTCTTTCCTTCTTTAAAATTTTCTGGCACTGTAGGACGTTTGCAGTATAACTAGTTAAATCGAATTGCAAAATACTTTGTCACCAGTGGATTCTTAAATTTTTGCTAACGATGATTGTTAAAAATTTTCCTGCTCCAGTAAATTTCTATGCTTATTAGACATGCATTCCCTACTTTTTGTTACCTTTAGAGAATATCCTTGGAGTACAGACGTCTGAAATTGTCATCATGAGAATTTTGCCATGGTGATGTGGGAGGATGGGTTGAACATCCAAACCAAATTTGACTCTCGCAGTAACTTTATCAAAATCATGCATATCTTGGCATACACTGAATGGTAATCAAATATGAGTGGAAATAAGAGTTAAAGTAATATATATATATAAATATAAACTAGCATTATGTTTAAAGCTGTTAATGGAAAATATTAGCCAAAATTGGATTATTTCTTTTAGGTTGTTAGGTTATTAGAATTATTTAGTTGTTGGTAAAACATAGATATGGTTGCTCATGAAAAATTATTTTCTTTAGTAGACAGCAAGTTCTTAAATGCTTTTGATGTGAGTCTTATTGGCACTGGCACCATTTAGCCTCCCGTTTGTTAACTGGGCTATTATATGACGTACTTTAGGGAATGTGAGCAGGCGCGACGTTGATAAACAAAACAAGACTCTTTTTGATAGATAGGCTTGTTGTTGGTTGTTAATCCTAATTGCAATTTTGGGATTGTCAAAACCTATAATTTTCATGCAATGAGGTGAAGTAAGCTTTGTTTAGATTATTTTCTGCAAATATCTGGCGGTACAATCTGCTTTATTTAAACTGAATTATCAATCATATCGTTTTGGTATTTGGATATATTTGCTGCAGACTGGCTAAATGAGTCGTGGATAACTTTAGTAAATTGAAGTTGTTGTGGGTGTATTTAATACAAACTGTAGTTCGTATGAAAAAAAACATGTGAGGTGTAAGTATTAGTTTTACGGTTGTAATTGTAAAATTGTGATTGTGAGATTGGTTTTCTGAGTATTTACTGTGAAAGATTGCATTCATATCGTTTAGTTTAACCGTACCTAGATTTGTCCCGGAGCTGGCACAGAACATAACATTACAACAGATGTGTGAAAATGGTATTATTAAATTATGGTATATTTGTTTTATTTCTTTTGTTGCACGATGCTCTCGTCGTTTGCAGAGGAAAGCAATTTTTAATTATTTTTACATTGCTACCTCGATTGTTAACAGGTAACTGGCGCCCAACATAGGATTCTCCATACATTTCCATCTTCCTGTAAGTGTATATCAATCGCTTAAGAGGTTCTTATATACCAAATGAGTTTTTCATGCATTAGGTCTGATAACTTAACTGCTTGATAGTTTGGAGATTCGGATAATTATGATTGTTCAGTCCAACATTTGATAATTAATACTTTTCGATATTGGAAAAAATTTGATTTTTCTAATCGTATTCTGAAGTCTTTCTGAATGTGGGACACCATCACATCACATCTTGTCCCTGGACAATATTCATATACTGAAGTTAAAATCTAGAATTCCTATCGTTATAAACTTAGCTCATCCACACTGCAAAGTATATGTTATTTGAATAACCTGACCTTGGTTTCGAGTACCGTCATCAAACCAGCTTTCCTTCGCTGAAATAGATTTTTGTCATCTTAAGGTATTCCAGAACAAACCTGTAAACCTTAAAGAGCGTTTTTGTCGTATAGCGTTCGTTAGGATGAGAGAGATGAGAGTTTGATAAAAACATTTACAGTATGGTCAAGAATTGCCATTCAAGAAATATTTAAATTCATTGATTCTTTTGACAGAGTCTTTTCTAGCTTGAAGTCCCCTTTGTAAGAGGGAGCTTTAGCATAGAAGAAAAATTTATAAAAACGAAACTTCAAGAACTTGAAGATTTTTATGAAAGAACAGTATTCGCGAATGGATGTGTCGACGCAAAGTAAATCAGAAGGTGGAACTTAAGTCTGTGAAGAATTAGTAGCCTTTTTCCGGATTGTGCATGGTATGTGTAATCTATGATAAATTGAATTTTGTTTTCAGATCAACTCTAAGGAATTGATTTCCTGATCAAATAACGCCATTCAGCTAACCAATGTTTTCTGCATTTTCAATCCGAAAGGCTGCTCAATGAGAGGAACAGGTGATTCGGAGGCAGATGTTTCATCCCATTCATAGCGAAAATACGGACTTGGAAAATTTTTCTTGAACCAGCGCATTATTCAATGAGGTAATAAAAAGTTATTTTGTTTGGGCAACCCAATTTATGGTTAAGTAGGGATTTTTTATTGATGCTGCAGTGCAACAGGAGCACATTTAATAACATTCGATTTTCAGTCCTAATTGGTGATATAATTTTAAGTATGATTACAAGTATTTGTTGCCGGCTCAGTGTCTTTGTTTTAATTCTAAAAGGCCATTCCAGGCCTTGCATTTTACTACGAAATTCATCTATCACTTTCCATCAACTTTTCTGAAAGGTTCTTGTTCATCTTCAGACTGTTCATGGAGACGCTGTCACTGCCAAACAAATCTTGACCAGCTCGCTAGATACAGTGAATGCAAAAACACAACGTCATAATCTTGATTATCCTATAGAGTTGCTTGCTCAATAGACTGTTGCCTATACAGCAGAATTCAGCACAGATTTTTTGTTTTGTTCATGATCAAGGTAATATTCTAAATATTTTACGTCTTCCTAAGCAAATAACACCCAGACCCATTCTGTGATTAACACTATAGGTCCCCACTATTTATCACCAAAATAAATTAGAAGTATTGAAATAATTTTTTAACTAAAATTTTTATCCGGTATTTTTAGCCAACTTATATTTCTTTGCTGACAACCATTAGGCTTGCTTTAATTTTGCAGACAGATTGCAGTGGCGCCAGGGTGTAATCCATGTAACTTACTGGAGGTATCCGGCGTGGACTTCATAAAGTCCTTCGCGCTTCGCGTACTGTTATTTCTTTAAAACGAAGAAATAATAATGCTTGGTGAAAAGGTAGATGGGCTGTCTGCCTGTGTTTGGGGCAGCGTATGACTTAAAACAACCGTTTTTGGCGATGTAACTTTTTGGCGTTAGCATTAAAATGTTGAACCGGTGAAGCTTCAAAATTTACCGGTCTATGTCTGGCGTGAGGTTTACATATACCCCACCCTGGAAGTGGCGTCGCCAGGGCTTTAGTACAAAATGTGCCAACGAGGAATTGGGGTATTTTGATTGCCTGAAGATCCCATTGTTTCCTTTATCGAATAAGGCATGCTTCAGATGTGTGAAGTCGTGAAAAAGGACATCATGCTAAATTTCAACAAATTTGACCCCTAACTTTTACGTCATACTTTCTCACAAAATAGGTCCTTCTGGCACCCCGGTCCCTCGGTCGTGACGTCATATGAAATTAAAAAGCATTAGACAATTTGGTGGAACTTATTGTGATATTAGGATATTCATAATTAAGAAGTACATTAATCTTCGTTTCAGACCAAGGGTGTGACTATTCCATTCCAGCACATTTCAAATAAGTTAAGTGTTGGCCGAGTTAATTCATCTTCAGATCTTATTTATCTTTGTCACGTATTGTTATGCTCCAAACCCCCGTAAAAGTGCATGGCTTCATTTTTGAATAGTTCCTACCCCATGTTTAGATCAACTTTGACCACTATAAACAGTGACAGAAATTGCGGGGATGTAGGGACGAAAGCCCCCAGGTCGACAAATTTGCTCGTTTCTGGATGTTGTGTCCCTCCCCCCACCTGAAAAACGAATTTTCGCCTCTGACTGAAATTTTCAAATTAGGCCGCTTAGGACTTGTTGATTTAAATTTTTGATGGGGGATAATTCGAGGGTGTTATACGTGGAGGTACTTACAAATTCGTCTCCAAATTGCTACATTACAAATAGCTCGTTTTGTAGCTTTAGCGCAATTTTCAAGTTCGTTTCATTTGCAATCTATTTAAATTATCAAATGAGAGTATAAATTAAAGCAACTGTAAAATGTTATTTAGCCCAACATTTATATATATTCTCATTCTCCACTGAATACATTTTTATTTGTTTGATAGATCGAGTTTCTTTCCTGTTTAATTATACTTTTTCTTTATAAGAACATTTTTTAAGAACACGACCCTCAAAATTGATCAAAAGTTAAGAACAAATTAAGAATAAGCTGAGGCTGAGCAACTGTAAAATGCAATTTTGAACAACGTTCTATCTCGATAACGATGATGTTAAGCCATGTTTGGGTGCTTTTTCGGTGAATATATTATGTATACTTGTCGGCAAATGAAGGTTGTCTCACTCACTTTGTTGGTAAATAAGGCCTGAACACCTACCTAGAACGAAAAAGCTAGCAATTGCACAGCTTGCACCCTACTGATTTAAGAACAAATAAAGAACAATTCAGCCTCAGATTTTCGAAAAAATTAAAAACAGTCAGCCTGAGCTTAACTTTACTCTCTCTCTCTCTCTCTCTCTCTCTCTCTCTCTCTCTCTCTCTCTCTCTCTCTCTCTCTCTCTCTCTCTCTCTCTCTCTCTATGTGCCGTGCCATGTCCTTTCAAGGCGTGGGCGATCATGGCTTTCCACAGCTTCCTTTCCTTTGTTCTTTTTAGCATTTCTTTCGTTCTCCCTCTTTGTCCTTCAGGTACATGTTCTGCCATCCATGTGCTCAAACTAGTCAAGTACTTTATCAGTGGTCCTCTTCTGCTTTTCTTCCCTTCAATGCTTCCCGTGAGAGAAATTCTCCAAACTTTCTTTCCTCATAACATGCCCCAAAAATTCCAACTGCCACTTTCTAACTGTTGGCAGTAGTTTCCTTTCAGTTCCTATTTCCTTTAGAAATTCTTCATTTGTAACGTGGTCTGTCCATGGAATCTTTAACATGCGCCGGTAAAACCACATTTCAGCTGCTTCAAGTTTGCTCCTAATATGTGCTGAAATTGGCCAGCATTCAATTTTCTGGTTCTTATAAAAAAAGAGTGTTTAAGGCAGACATTGTGGTGTCAGGGTGGGGGCTTATTCTAGGATTGCGGTTTATTATCAATTTTTAATTCACGGACGAGGGGGCTTATAGAAGGGGGCAAGTTCGAGGGTTTGTCGTATTTCGACAAGTTACCTATCTCGTTTCCAAACTTACAAACGAGGTCAAGTACCTGCTAAAAATGTCAACAATGACAGCAACAACACCAAATGAGCGGAAGAACTTTATGTAAATGAGTCCATGTTGCAAAGAAAAAAAAAGTTACAGTTTATCTTTGGACAGGAGAGAAATAATGAGGCAGTACAGGGGAAAATAACATTTTAGGTATCGTATAATTACAAGTGTATAACAACAAGTGTGTATTTGTGTGCTTTGCATGAGTAAAGAGAGGCCTATTCAAAGGAAATGTCTCTCGTTCTTTTATATTGTATAATATTCTTGCAGTTTGCTCAGCTTTCAACTAGGATAATGACAGCTGACCTCAGGTGGAATTTAAAGTATTTAAAATGAAGTCAATTTGCAAATGTGATGCAGCCCGGAACATTATAATTTGAGAAACTACGGATGGATAACATCCCCCGAGAGTAGTTGGCATGTAGTGAAAATAATTGCGTTAAGTGACAAGAAGCTTTCATTTTGATGTAAAAGATATTTCTGTCTCTCAGTCCAGTATAGATAATTTTTTATAATGAAAATTACTATTAACCCATCTGGCTCAAAGCCGTATAGGCAGTGCAGTACACCCAAAAATGATATCAAAAGAACTTATTTTTTGCATAAAATGAAAAGAATTTTTTTGATTGCAGTTGACTACATAAAGAATTATTCTGGTTCAGATTGAAATGTTAGGCTGTAAGAAGTAATAAAAATATTTTGAATTTAGGTATTTACTGGCTAGAGCTAATAAAAAGTTATTTTTTTATTTGATTTTTAAAGGTGAAAACTGGCAAAAAGCAACCCATATGCTCAAAGCATTATGGATCACTCGGATATTGAGGAAAGTCCAAGTGAGCAACAATTGAAAGAACACCGTAAAAAATGGAGAGTCACATGCAACTGGTTACCCAAAAGATATTTGCTGGCAATCCTCAGCTTTTTAGGGTTCCTAAATGTCTATTCATTACGTGTCAATCTAAGTGTTGCCTTAGTTGCCATGATTTCAAATAAAACAATAACAAATTCTTCTGGCCATGCCCTTTTTACAGTAGGTGTATTTCCTATAATTTTCTAAACTTGCCATTGGTTTTATGTTTTGAAGCATTTCATTTTCATATTTGTGTTCAAAGATGACATGTCATTAAAATTTCTTTTGAATTTGCATATTTAAGTTTGCCAATTTTTAAACTTGAAATCTAACACAAATTCAAAGGTAAAATAGATCTGTGCACCTGTTTGGTTGTCTACCTTTCTAAAAAATGTTTATAGAATTCATTTTTCACAATTATACAATTAAAACATTCTTACTGGCTAAGGGTACTGTCATGCATTTATATTATCTTATAATTTATATTAACAAAATATTTAAATGGTGTTTTGTCTTCTCAACATTTCTGATTTGCTTTATACTTGAATACAGACTAAATGGTCTGTAAATCTTTTTGCTAGGAGCCAGCAGAATTTTCGTGGAACACAAAAGAGCAAGGTATTTGTAATTTGTGATTAAAAGACACTCGTAGTATGTTATTCATTAGTATGTTATTTCCGAAACATTGTATTGCTTCTTTCTGAATTGCAAGTAGAAGCCATGACTTTATTACACCTCTACTTTGTGTCAATCCTGAGATTAGGATATCAGTATAATTAATATTTGTGATAATAAGCCTTTTGAATTTGAGTTACAGTTGTTGCTACAAGTTGAGCTGTAAAGTTTTGCAAGAACTCAATGTTGCTTTCATATATGAAATAATTCTTTTAAACTTAGATGCATGTTCCTTTTAACTGCTTGATGCTAGATATTAATTCTTAGTATCTCTAAAAGCTAATGATACCTTCTGAAAAGCTGAATCCCAAATCCATTCTTTGACTTGACAGGTATTATCCTGAGCTCTTTCTTTTATGGTTACATCATCACTCAAATACCTGGTGGATATCTTGCAGCCCATTTTGGTGGGAAAACCCTTTTTGGTGGAGGTATTCTAATGACAGGACTGTTTACATTGCTAACACCATTAGCAGCAAGAATAAGTATGCACCTCCTCATAGCTGTTAGAGTGTTGGAAGGATTTTTTGAGGTAAGCTGACATTTTGTACAGTTGTACTTCAATTTTTTTCTCAATTTAATTTTGGATATCAAAACAATTAAAATAAACTAGGATATTTGTAGGTTGATTTTCCCACACTACCATACCAAGAGATTTCCCACTCTATAAGAGGGACTAATGCAGTCTTATTTCTTCATTCTCCAATAACTGCAGTCTTCACTTTTCAGGGCGTCACTTTTCCATGCATGCATGCAATTTGGAGCAGATGGGCTCCACCAATGGAAAGAAGCAAGCTGTCATCAATATCTTTTTCAGGTATGTTATTTATAAATCAGTGAAAGCACAATATGTTCTTTCTACACCATTACTTGATCTTTAAAAAGACTATGTGATTGAGCATCCTAAAAAGTAAATTTACAAACAATGATGATGTATGTGAAAACAATTTTGTTTCTATTTTACTTACTATCAGATCAGACAATCTTACTGACAGACAAATGAGCCACCCCAGGCCCAGGAAAGACCCAATGCTGGGGCCCCTTTCTATCCACCTAAATAAACCTAAAAAGCATTAGATATGGATTAAAGTACATAGAATTTTCTTTATTGCATTCATAGAACATTGTCAATATTTCCCATTACAGATATGATACACAGTTGCCATATATGTTGGCAGCTGCAGCAAGCCTTTAAAGGTTTCCTATCTTACAAGCCTCCTTGAAAGTATCTTAAAGGTAATGTGTCCAGCTAAAGCAAGCGACTCTGCGGGGGTTTCTGGAAACATGTGATATTTCATGTCATCGCCCCAGCCATTACGGTCGTTTTGTTTATCTATACTGCTGCGAGGTTAGCTTTTCATGTGAGCAGTTTTGCATCGCAAGAATACTAACCAATTGCAAACCGTTATTTTGATGGGTGGCTTGACAAGTTGGGTATACGCAGTCCTTTTATATGGACACATTATTACCTTTAATAACATTAATAATAATCTCATTCGGACTCTAACCCCAGCTTTTAATGAGGATATTGAATTAAAAATTAATCAAAATTACCATTCTTTATTGTTTAGCAAGGACATCTGACCAGCCAGTAGCAGTAGGTTTGCTATTGAATTTCTAAAAAGCCACCTGACCTACCTTGAGCTTATCCCATGGTTTCGGATTGTAAAATGATTCCATTTTGGATTCAAATTCCATGATTTAAAAATTGAGGACATGTGTCCCCAGTATCCCCTATGCCCTAGCTCTTTGTGGTTATATGTTGAAAAAAAAAGAATATTTTAATTAAAAAAACCAGACAGTGCTATCACTATTATAGTCACCAAGTTCTTTCTGTATTTTCTGCATATAAACCTTTTTTTCAAATTATGACACATGATCTATTACAGTTGCTTCCAAAGGAATCTCATTTTCACATAAAGTTTCCTTTTTATAGTTAGTAAGTGCCATTGTCAAAATACAACATCAACATCTGCATTTTATTTCAACATCAGTGATTCTGGTTTATACTGACAAAGAAATAAGCAGTGTTTTCAAGTCTGATGAAATAGGCAAAGGATATTTAGAACATTGTGATCATTTTCTTGGATTTTTGATATTTTACAATTTCATTTCTTTTTCCTCCCAATTCTCAAATTTCCTTTTAAAAGGAAATTTCCTTCCAAGTGGAAGCAAGATGTTAGGCAAGACAGCCATGCATTCTGTTTCGCTTCCACCTGCTGCAAAGGCGTTTTCTGCCCACGGCTACCTACGTAATTCATGGCAGATTAAAAACAAAATTCTCCTAAATTTTGCAAAGGACCCGGCCGTATTTTCGTGAAACTAGCAATCTTTTAATTATACTTTTGTCTTAAAATAATTGAGTTTGAGGGCTATCATTGATGTCAAGAATTATTGATGTTTGTATTCAGCTGTCGACACATGCTCCAATCTAACAAAGAACAATTATTGAAAACATCATCTAAAAACACTGCATAACGGCTCAAGGAAGAAAGCAGGTTTTGATTTGTGCATAAATTGACTATGATTTGAGCATGTTTCTCGCAGATTTTAAAATAAAGTGTAATCTCGATATGGCGAACCCCGTATATAACGAACTTCCCGGTTTAAGGACTTTATATCTGGTCCCTTGAGTTCTGCCTTACAAACCTCGGATATAACGAACTATCGTTCCTGCGAACAAAATGTTAGGCCCCTGACTCATAAATACCTTCGGTATAACAAACTTTATAACAAATTTTCATCTGTTATTTTGATTTATTTTTTTCTAGTGTTCATTTATCACTTTCTCTCAAGGAAAATCGTTATTGTCAGCGGTAAAAACATACATCGGCAAAACATGCACTTTTTATGAGTTGAAAATGGAGATGAGATGCGTGCATAAGTTAAAATACCTTTTCAAAGCATTATTTCAAAGCAAAAATTTCAGTGAAAAAGCCAACGCACAGAAAGCCAAATTGTAATGTGTGAAGAACAACATTTTCATTTTTGATCACTGACCATTATAATTCTTGAATCCAGCTTGTTTGTTTTGAGTAAAATGTGCACAGAAATTGGGGATAGCCTAAACATTCCAACGGGTGGGTTTATTGACACGTGCACTGTGAAAAGAACTCAAGAAAATTTCACCCGGCTTAACGAACCCCCGATATCACGAAATATTTTCTTGTTCCCTTCAGAGTTCGTTATATCGAGATTCCACTGTACTGGACTTAAAAAAATGAAAAAAAAATGTTCTATTCCTCAAATTTTTTACTACTTATTTACATCTGACCATTTATCCCTAATTTTACATTAACTGTTTGAATTCATCATAAATAAGTATTTTTAGTGTAGTACATCAAATGTAAGATTTTTCTTGTGAGTTTCCCTTGCAACCTGCTGCCTTACAAAAAATGATCTACTTTCGATAGGAATCCCTAGATTCAAACAACTAATGATGAATACCCTTAAAGATGCATGCCAGGTACTCGCCAATATGGTGCAACGTCACAGGTCCCCCTTTATCCATCGCTTGATGGGCCCTGTGCGGTCAATAAAGGACTGGAGACAAATAGAACCGGTCCTCCTGTAGCACCCGGGCCCTTGGCCCACGTCGGCTGTCCCTGCCCGGTCAGTAGGCCCCTATTTGGAGATATTTATTTTAACAAAAGGGATACCAACTTTCTAGACAGGAAGAAGCATGAGTATAGTACAATGAAAACAGAAAAAGAGAATCTTGCAAAAATTTATCCAATTTATCTAAAAATGATATCAAGAATTTGTGAATTATTTACATTAACAGTAAGGTACACCTCCCCCTGGACACATTTCAGGTGAGGGGAAGCAAAATCTGAACGACATATTTTTGCATTTAAAGAACATTATTTAGTGTTTGCTTAGACGCTATGTTTTGACCTGTCATTACCGCTAACTTTTTAGGACCATTTGCTGGAACGGTTTTTGGAATGACATTGTCAGGAGCGATAGCGCATAACCATGGCTGGCCCGCTGTTTTCTATTTCTTTGGTAAGGTGGTAAAACTTTATTGCAAAATTTAGCAGTTTAATGCTTTTAATACAGTCTGTTGTGTTTTAGAATAAAGATGGTTTTTTCGTGTTGCAAAAGGAAAGTTTATGTTGCCCAATCAGAAAGAAAAATATACTTACCTCAAGATATTTTAATTAATTTGCATACCTACTGGTAACTATAAACTGTAAGCATCAAGGCTCATATTGACAGAAACGCTATAACAGCATGCCGTGTCTTGTGCCAAATTATCTACACGAAGAGAGTTTGTTTCTTTCTAAAAAACCTTATAAAGGGGTTAGAAAACAGGAACACACCACACCTGAAATGGAATGGTTATTGGAAGAGTTTAGTTTTACGAGGGTTGAAGCTAAAGCAATGCTCGATTAAAACAAAAAATTTTCGATTGTTAAATATTTGGAAGTGAATTTAGAAAGAATGTCAGGGTATATATACCCCGTTTTGAAGTAAAATTTTAGGGACGCTCCTACACCCAATATGTTTCAGGGCAATTGGTCACCAACCCCCCTCCCCCCCAGAAAAAACTTTTGTTTCCAATGACCAATCCCTTTGTTTCTACTGTTTTCATGCAACGGTGTCCCCAATAACTTTATTCTCCCTACGGCACTAATGGGAATAGCGGATGTTACAAGTTTAGGGGGCTCAGTACGGATCTTGCCCGGATGCTTTTGCTTCATCAATATAGGACTGCTCGAATTGAGCATGAAATGCCTTAAATTTTGATGATTTGGGGGCCTACAGCCCTCTCAGCTCCAATTTTTCCTACGCTTATGATGACACTGCGTTTATTGAATTCCTCTCCACTTATAATTAAGTACAATCGAACCGCATATTGTGATATTTGTTTGTATCCTTCGCAGGCCTCCTGGCAATTATTTGGAGTGTGTTTTGGTTTTGGATGGTTACTGATTCTCCTTTCGATCATCCTACGATTACAGATAAGGAACTTGATTATCTCAAACAGGAATTATCAGAAGATAAGACCGAATCTAAAGTGAGTCTAACCAGCAGTCACTTTTCTTAGTTCGCAGCCCTCGGTTATGTCAAAAAATCATGCATAATCCCACCTCTCTTATTCAAACCTGTATTTTGTTTTCAGTTATCACGAAGCCAATGTTTCACATGTAAATTTGTACGATGACAGAGAATTTCAGTGTTTTTATTTCTTCTCGGATTTACGAACAGATATCCTTGACTTTATTTTCCTCCTCGTTTAGTCTAGCCTTTACCCGAACCCTGCTGATTCAAACATCTTCCTGCCCTTCTATTTTATGCCCTTTCCTGAAGAGATTTAGAAAATATGTTCCTCTTCTTCCTCAGTTATCAACAAAAACCCAAGTTTTTGCAGTTATGAAAAAGTGATTTCTCAATAAAACGAAAAAAATCTCTGTCACTTTCAGAATTTTAATTGGCCAGTCTATTAGAATCATGATCATGAATTGTTGCGAAGAAATGTAGATCCATGTGTCCAGGATTGAAATTTCGGTGTCATTTGGACGGCAAATGTGCTCTTTTTCGAGACTGTTTAAGAATTTTCGTAAATTTTTAATGTGCACTCTCAAGTATAGGTCATGCCCTTTAAATGGCTTTTGACTAAGGTATGCACCGTTATCCTTAGTTAAATCCTCAACTAAGTGCTTAGCTAATTATTCTGTAAAATTAAAAAGCAAATCCTCAACTAAGTGCTTACCTAATTATTCTGTAAAATTAAAAAGCAAATATCGATCTCCTTATTTTTCAGCTAACAACGGTTCCATGGAAGGAGTTGCTCACATCTGTCCCCGTGTGGGCAATTATAATCGCACATTTTACAGAGAACTGGGGCTATTACACACTACTTACGTCACTTCCGACTTATCTTAAGCTGATGCTAAAGTTTGATCTACAGAAGGTACGCATCAATTAATAAATGACTTGTTTTCCTTCACATATTTTCACAGAGTTGAAAATGGATTAATTTGTTGACAGCATGTATGCCAAAGATTTCTTCTAGCGGTGAGGTCTAATAGGCCCCCTGCTCAATTTCATCTTCTTTCATGGACACCTTGGACATAGCTCTCATTTTATATTGATGACTAAGTTGTGTTTAACTTCTTTCTTGGGCCATATTCTTTTGCTTTCTCGATACCCAGAGATGGCAAAAATTTGTTTCTAGTTGGGCCTGCCAAAAAAACAACAAATATTTTCTGTGCCACAAACTAGTCGCATAGACATCTAGACATTTGTTGGGTCTGTTGAGCAATTGACTACTGTTGACAATATTCATTTCCGTTGACTTTTGCAAAGATTATTCTGCAGTAAGCTGCTGCTTATATTTAATATGCTCCTCTAGTTTACAATGCAACAAAATTGATAATTTTGATAAGGTGTCCCACTGATTCAAAACCTTTCTACGTCAATTTTGCAGCAACTTAATATTCACAGCAGTTTGTTTGGTTTAATACCTTGCATCTTACACCTTCTCGGGATATTTGTTCCTTATTGATATTATGACCGATTGATCATTGACCCAAATTTTTTTCTGGGACCCTTCGTCCCATGGTGTGATACTTCTCCAACCCTGTCTAAGGCAGTTGAATTTGCATTTTGTCAATATTTTTAAACGATTGACGCCGCTACAAATCACGTTTCTTCAGCTCAAGCTTTCAATTCGTATAATGGGTCATATGGGCGACTTATTTCTCTTTTGAAAATACTTCGTTGTTACACTTCATATATTTTTTGTAGACGGGATTTCTCGCCTCTTTTCCATATCTGGTCATGATCATAGTTGTTCAGACGGGGGGACGTCTTGCAGATTTTCTACGGTCTTCAGGAAGAATGTCGACCACTTCCGTTAGAAAGCTTTTCAACACGTTAGGTTAGTACGCTTTCGCAACATTTTATGCACTTATCTTGCAACCAAACATAGTTGTAAGTCAATCATTTGCAACGGAAGACTGTTGTGATTTACATTGCAAAGCACTTCCTTCCTGGTAATCCAAAAAACTTTGTTTCTTTGCAAATTTTCATCGTGCTACAAGTCTCAGCCTTCTAGATGGCCAAAACGTTCATTTTTAATTATTCTGCTCTTCTCCGCCTTTATGGTAATATGCTTAATTTGCCATGAACTTTGAATATCTCAAATACATAGATGATTTCTTTCAGTTGCTTTTTAGAACACTAATGCAATAAGTTAAGTTTAAAAATATTCAAGTTCAACAAACACCAGCTTTTTATTTCATGCGTCATTTTAAATAAAATGAGAAATTCAATTTGTAACAATATCTCTAGGATCTCAAATGTAGGACAATATCTCAAATGTAAGATCTTTTGAGAAACAGTTCCACGCTGGGAGCTCAATCTACAGTAGTTTGTCGAATGAAATTATTGTTTTACCTAAAATGAAGTGTGCAAAAAATAGTTGCTGCATTGTTATTTTAATTGGTCGTTAGGGGTTGAATCTCGATGTACAGAAAACATAGCAAGCACGACGCATTGTTTTGTTCAAGTGGACCAATGCCATTGTTTTGTTAAGGTAGACCAATCGTTTTGGCAAACAAACCCAATGGTTTTGATACACGAATAACGCTGTTTTGGTTTCTTAGACCAACACCACTATTTTGGTAGGCCAGTATTATTGTTGTGGTAGACAAGTACTATTGATTTGGTAGACCCAGAAGAAGCGCAACAGTGTGCTTTTAATGTAGTGTTAAAACTTTCTTGCCAATGCGTCTCAATATATCTTTGGTGTAAAATGATGTATCCCCCAGAATCAAATTTATCCATGCAGTACATTGATTGCCTCACCTTTTTTATCCAGATTAAGTTTCTTGACTCTTTGTCAAATCCCAATGTTGGTCCCGATTAACGTTTGAACTTTTGTCAAAGTTTTTTTTATGTATCCCTCCTTTCTCTTGAATAGGGTTCATGTTCCAAGGCATTTTCATGATAGTCGTTGGGTACAGTACAAGCAAATACATGGCCATGTTTGCTTTAGTCATGGCTGTCGGATTCGGTGGCCTTGCATGGAGTGGTTTCATTGTCAATCATCTCGATATAGCACCGCGCTATGCAAGCCTCCTTCTTGGAATCAGCAACTGTTTCGCTACCATTCCAGGAATTGTCAGTCCTCTTGTTGTTGGATTCGTCACTACACACGAGGTCTGTAACTAGATATCTAGAATGGACTATTTTCGCAATAACCAATAGACGCAATTATAAGAAAGACATCTGTGATATTTTTACGTTATCAGCTATTATGTATAATACTTTTTATTTAGTGTAAGACAATCCTTACCTTGGTTTATTGTCTAAAATTTGCACTACCTAAGAGCCAAACGCTCTTCAAGTTGATCAAGGAATTTTCTTGTAGAACGGACACATTTATGCAACTAATTTGCATTACACACACTATGCATTTGTTGTGCCTGGAATATTCACATGTAGTATATTGTTTTTTATGGAAGATATTTCTCTACCCAGACTAAAGAAGAATGGCAAATAATATTCTTCCTGTCAGCGGCAGTTTACGGGCTTGGAACTGTGGTTTTCCTGATTTTTGCCTCCGGTAAGAAGCAGCCATGGGCTGATCCGAATGGGTACCAAAGTATTTCTGAAGACAACGATGATAAAGACATGTTGCTGAAAGAGGGAATCGAGGATCAGAAAGGCACCCCATCGGCTGCAAATGAAACGGATGAGAGGCAAGAACCAGAATCTCTAGAAATGAAGGGAATTTTGAATTAAATAGTGATAATTTTTAAATATTTAGTTATTTGCGTAAGTAGGTTTATCTCTTTATCTTAAATAGCTGGAGATGGGGGAATCATTCGAGCAGTGATGTGTCCAAATATTATTATTAGAATGAATACAGAATGCAATTTAATAAATACCAGTGTAAGGATCCTGGTCATAGACTCTTTTTCACAGAACCAGTTAATTAATGTTCAGGCTGGCTGTTTTTGTTTTTTTCGAAAATTCGAGGCTGGATTTTTCTTAGTTTGTTCTTTAATTATTAGGTTGTAAACAGTGCAATTGCTAGCTAGTGAGCACTAGGGGGGTTTCAGGTTCGTTTACCAAAAAACTGAGTAAGACATCCTTTGTTTGCCGATAATTTTACCGAAAAGCACCCCTAATATAGCAAAAAACTCCTCGTTTTTGAGATCAAAGTTTAAAGGGGGTTTCACAACATTGTTAAAAACTGTATTTTGCAGTAGCTCAGCCTCACCTTGTTCTTGATTTGTTCTCAACTCGTGACCAATTATGAGGCTCGTGTTTTATAAAATTTTTTTATAAAAAAGAGTGCGAATTTTTGGTTGAAAAGGTGACTGAGAACTTAGGAGAAAATGCATGCTTAACGATCGAGAAAACAAAGGCCTCTCTCCAAACTGATGATACATTCGAGTAGTTAAAGAGAATAGAAAATAAATCAGTTATCAACCCCCGGGTAAACAATTCCAAATTTTCGTAATTGTGAATAAGCGCTGTCTCCATTAATTGTGGGAGCTAATAAACTCCCTAGTGTTTGTTAGAGTAAAGGTGGTAGGATGCAAGCTGAATAATTTCATTTCTAGTTACGTTAATGTAGTGGTCCTCTAAGACCACAATATTTATTTTTAAACGGAATTGCATCGTTATAGCAAATAGAAAGAATATAATTCGTATTTGTAAGGGTATTTGTATTATTAAAGCAATTTTCTTTCAAATGTATAGTATCAGTGTTTATGTGGTCAAACTATACACTACACCAGTGGGGATGTACAAAATTAGATATTTTCTTTTTCATTTATTGGCTCTTGTCTGTTTGTAGCTCTGAAAATTACAGTGGTGTATGCTAATATGCCAAGATTCAGGTAAGGGGATTTCTCAGAGCCCAGTTACTCTGGTTCCCAATTTAATCGCGGCTGTGGACCCAGTTGTGGATCGAAAATCTCAACAGTCATGTGCTCGCGTTTCTGGTTGGCCTATTTCGATCCACGACTTTTTGATTGGCCTATTTCGATCCACGACTGGGTATATATATTCCCTAGCGTAGAGTTTTCGGTCTATGTTCTGACGTTTTAAACTCTGAGGAGTGTCAGACGAAAGGCTTTAGTTTACTCAAATGTTTGCTTTTTTCAAAGCCATTTTTAAGTTTTGCACCGCCAAAAGGTTGTTTTCAATTGATATTATTTCATAAGGAAGTTGTGAATAGGACGAGAGGGCATTAAATTGACGAGTGAAGATCGTTGTCTGACCCATTGAGACTGTGATAACCTGATTTAATGAAATTCCAATTGTTCATGTTTATGGAAGCAAATGGTAAGATGTAGAGTTTGGTCATCAATGAAGCTTTGTCCGAAAGTGTTATTTGATCGATGAATAATAACATTGCCAACCATCGCAGAAAACCTTCTCTCCAGAGAATACCCCAAGCACTTGCTACGGCTGGGTGATGTTGAGTTACAAAGCATGACGAACGCATTCCTTGTATGTGTCCATATTCTTTTCCACCCACGTTGATAAATCAATTACTGAACAGTTTTTGACAATTTCTTCGTCAATGCTTGATAAGGAACTTGGACTTTCAGTGGGAGAAAGCAATTCAAAAGTTCTTCAATTTTCGTGCTGCCTTGAAAAGACCGACAAGGTGAGTGAAATTGCTGAACTTTAATAAAACGACAACAAACGTTTTGATTACCTAGCGACTTGCACGTGCGACCTAATGCAGTGGTATAAGAAATAGCATGCGTTGATCTAATTGAAAACGCAATCAAAGAAAACCTGGGTAATGCACGCAAGTCCTTAAATCACTGTTTTTGTAGGCCATAGTCTCCACCTAGCTTGCCCTTGGAATTCGCGCGACATTTAAAGATATCCCGTTTTGGTTGTTTAAACATGAGTAAATGTGTTCAATTTTGAAATAATCTTCGTTCCTTGAATTACAGCAAGCCACTGCGACAATAAAAGCTGTTGATTTAATGAACCAGGCCATTTCAGTTCATTTTTACGTCTAAAGACGTTATTCTATTGACAAATCAATCTGCGATTTGAAGAGGTTCAAAGGTCATTTCCTTTCGCTATGGTAAAACATTATCAGACTATGAAAATGTTATTTGGAAGACATTTATTTATACTTTGTTGATGTGCAATGTTTAAAAAATGTGTCAAAACTGAACACCCTTGATTTACCCTTGATTTCAGCCTAAGATAACAACCAGTGGCGAAGCATGAGCGCAGAACTAAGGCATACGGTAACATAAAATATACGGCCATATTGAATGAATGTAATCGTAATTTCAACTTCTTGAAAATACAAGCGGTAATTAATGATAATCGTGATAATGAATTTTGATTTTGAAGGTAACAAATCGTTTGTACTTTAATTCTAATCAATCAAGGTGTCTATTCTTTGCATCAGATGCTCCGACACAGGTTGGAAAGTGAATGGGGTCAAGGGAAAAATTATCACCCATGCGAAATGTTTTTGAAAAAAGCTCAATTGTTTTAAAAAATTTTTCAGAATAGCTCCTATGCTAAAACCGTTTCGCAAAAGATCTCATTCTTATTCATACTGCTCAAAAAAGGCATCATCTAATGCCGACATAATGTAAGAATTTTTTATGCTATAATGCAGCTGAGGATTCTGCAGAGCCTAGGTGAACAGGAGCAAAAGTTTCTACTCTCATTTTCTACTTTTATAGTTATCAAAGATGACAATAATGAGCTGTGAGAGTTGTTAGAAATGAAGATGCTTACATGTGTAATGGTTTCAAAAAGTTGTTCCTTGCAAATCATCAACTATTTGGCAAGGCTTGCGCTCAGGTGAGGCCCTGTATGGGTGGATGACATTATTTCATATTTCATGATGATATCTTGCAATTATTTCATACTTCAAAATTAACAAAGCTAATTATTTCGAATTTTTCAAATGTTCTATTCTGCCTTCAGGTGTCACGAAAAGTTGGACCGACTCACATACAAAATGGACCGAGTCTTCAAAACCAATTTTTGCAGCTACGAATATTGAAAATGTATAAAGAATAGGTGCATAAAAAATTAAATGGATTTCGTACTTGGGTAAAAGTAGGGGATTGATTCTCTTTGGAACTGTGGAATCATTTGGTATTTTCAAGGGGAATCTAAGGACACTGGATGAAATATTTATCTTTGTTTTGCTCAATTTATTTTTTGGGAACACTAAAGAAACTCTAAAAACATACATGTACCAAAACTGATAGTCTTAAGTCTTTAGCGTGGAGGGTACAACCTGAAGGGGCCAGTTATAGACATGCCTGGAAGAGACAATAAGCTTGAAGGATTTTTTAACTTTGAATTTTAGGACATCTTCTTTGGCTCTACTAATCGCCAAGAGCCCTAACAACCAGTAAATTCAGTTGTTTAATGCTTTAATCGATTCTTCATACTACAGTCATACTGTTATTTCTAGTCACTTACAGTCTTGTGCATTCATTAGAAAGAAATGATGCTAAATAATGTTAATGCGAAGCTAAAGCTAGGTGAAATCAACTCTTACGACGTTCTCAAGAAGAAATCAAAATAAATGCTGCAGATTGACTACATGTTTCTAACGAGTAGATATTTTATAGACGGAATTTTGCATAACCATCTAGTAACAAGCCTTACCGAAATTTTAAAGGTTTAAATCATTAAGCCTTGGGAACTTTCTGGCAGAAGACCGGAAGTCACGTCCACGTTACAAGCTTTTTTGATGATATCATCAGATTTGAGAAATTCGAATGTCGCAATTTTGCTGACCGTGCAATTTTCATGCTTCCAGTAAAGCGACTGCTAGTCAATTACCAGAATGCTTCCAAGGCTTGAAAAGATAAGATCAGCAAACAGTTGGAGTGGACCAAATACCCTTTGCGGTTGCGTGTTTGTAGCTTTTCATAATATTGCCTTATTGTTTGATCTTTCTGCGCAGCTTACAATCACTTTTAGCATTACTTATTGCTTTAGCATAACTGAAACAAAAATGATATGGTCGGACACAACATTTTTAAGATTAGAATAACGTTCCGGTGAACATGTTAGCTCCAGATAAAAGAATTGAAGAGCGAACAATATTTTTCTGAATTTTATTATCAGCAAGTCAATCCTGCATCTTAAATAGCTTACAAAACAGTGGTTTAGTGGTCTTAGGAAGAATGGCTAGTAAGTATATATGTGGAATAAGCAATAGATAAAAATATGTTAATGATGTTATTTGATGTTCTCGTCTATTTCAATGAGATAATATAAGCCAAAAGTATTTGCGGTAGATTTTATGCTATTGGTATTTTTCCTATTGGTATGAAAAGCCTTTTAAACTCCTAAAAAGATTGAGAAGATTAAAAGAACAACCAGGTGTAATATGGTTAGTATCTTAACAGGTCTACAGATCAATAGTCACTTGAGTCAATGCTTGAGATCAATAGTCTCTTATATCTTCAAGTATTTGTAATTACAAACGTGCATTTTTTCCTCTCTATGTTATGGCCCCGGGGTAGACAGAATTGATTCTCCCCGGGGTATCGTCTTTGTAGTGTATGTAAAGTAGCGCGTAGTTAAGGTAATACAGTAACTTGTTATGTAACTTTTTGGAATGTATAAAAAGTCAATGCTATTATCAAGTAGATAATTCACACACAACATTTAAAGAGGTATTCAGTTATTTTGTGATTCCATATTTCATACTGGGAACAAAAGTTATTTCATATTTAAAGACTCAAAAACCTAAATATTTATATTTTAATTCCGAAAATCTCAATTATCTCGTATTTCAAATACCCCTTATAGGGCCTCTCAGGTCTACCGCATGCCCTGGTCCGTAAATTCCGACTATACTGGCAAGCCTTTTGACTTGAATTACGGTATGCGGATCATGACAAATAGTCTTTGACCCCACTTTGACGAAACTTTTTCTCTTTTTAACGTCACAAAGTAGAGAATGGAAAATACCTAAATTTCAAATGATGTATCACGCAAGGAATATTCGCAAAAAGCAGCTTATAGGCAGAAAAATGTTGCGGATTATCAAATATTGGGAATGCTTGAGCTAAGGCTGACCGCAAGCTCCAGTCCAGAAAATTCTCACTGCTCTCAGAAGCTTCTCTCGAGCTGCATTGAAGCTGCACTGGAGCATCGCATGTTTCTCTTATTTCAGGCAGGCAAAAAGAATGATGCCGGGAGGCTTCAGTTTTTTTTAGATTTTTCGAATTTCACAATTTTTTTGCGATGTCTTTACTTGGAAAAATAGCCAATTGGCATGTTGGCGCTGAAAATCACTGCATGCTGCTCATGATCAGAAAGAGAAGCCGTTTATTGCAGAAAATGTTATGCATTGACTTTAACGCTACAACGTATTTATTACCGTTAGAAGTTTTGCAAGAATTTTAGAATTTGTCTAGAATTTTTTACGCCTGCGCCGCAAGCGTAGCATACATAGACGCTGCGCCACTGATAACAACAGTACTGCGCTGAATTTTGTTTTGTGTGTTAATTTAGCATAGGTATGGCCACAAAAATTTGAAATCTAAAGGGCATGGCCACAAAAATGTTCCCATAGACCAACAAAGAATTTTAGTTGTTTTGGAAATCACCCTTAGATTAGGCACTGTCCTAACAGAAGAAAACTACTTACTTTATACGAAGGAAAGAAACACATCTGTCTCATTGCTACGTAAAGCAAAATTTCATTACTATTGGTCACTGAACGCAAAGGATGTAGCTGACAGTCGAAAATTCTGGAAAAACCCTAAAACCAATATTTTCAGAAAAGATAAATACAATTCAACCTATAAGC